TTTTGATATACGTTTTGTTTTAAATAAATATAGTCCGTTTTTGCAAACTTGATCTTCTTTGGATCAAGGTCGCTAGTTTTTGATTGGAGTAAATTACATCACTTTTTAGGAAAGGTGTGGTCGAATTACCTGTCCCAAAAATAGTGTTGCAATCGTTGCTAAGCGGGATAAGTTCTAAAATAGTGAGAGCTAGAAATTCACCTCAATATATGTCAGCGATCAGTATTCACCAGAAATACGCTATTTGTTATCACAAAGTGGTACCATCTTATCATGAAGATGTGGCAAACGTGACAAAAAAGCCTTATCATGGTGAATATAAAACAACATATAGCGTCTTCTAAGATCAGTAAACGATTGTCATTCGACATAAATCTTTCGTTTTTCACGCCGATTATTTACTCCCTTTGACATAAAGACGTCTTTGTGTTCATCTCACTTATCCACTTAAAAGTGTGGGAAAACTCGATTTCCCGTTACTTTGCACTGCAACACAAACTAGAAGAATATAATGGAATCTTACAGTAAGTTTGTATACTAAATGAATTATTTAAAACATATTTTTTGTACTTCATATTTTTAAAACCATCTTATGTCAACTTCTTATCTTTGACCTGCGTGTTATAAATCACTGGTTACCTTCAGATGCTAGATATATTTACTATTTTTCTGAGTGCATATTACATGTTTAAGTTTGTCAATCATATTAAGATAACGAAAACATTAGGAAGTGAAAATTCCCATAAAAAATATCATTCAGTATAAAGCTCGTTTTGTTTGAATTACCGGGAAATGCAATGTAATTTATTATTTATTTAGGGAATTTAAAAATACGTTTGCAGTATTGGGTTATATTGTTATTGTGTGAAGCGTAGCCAACTCGCCTACAAAACTTTCCATCATCCAGAGGCAGATACCGTGAATTCCAGACGAATAATTTCCTTCCGACTCTCTTTTATCACAAATAAAAAGAGGTTAATATTTTATTTAGTGAAAATAAACGTCACTGTTAAAATAAGTCTCTTTAAAATATTTCCATCAATCTGCGTATGATGTAATATAAAAATTCCTGGCTCACTGGGCACATAAATTTGCCAAATGCTAGTTTCCTTTGTACTGCCAATATCATCTAGTATCATCACCCACTCAGACGATTTGATAGGTTTGATAGCCAATGATTACACCAAACGTTCAACCATGCTAAGAGACTTTATTCCAGGGCTACTCAACTATTTTTACCAAAGATTCGCATACAAAACTCCGAAATTATTTGGGTCCGGTCTTCCCAAAAATTTTGTTCCAGCATCCTGAAACGCGCACTTCCTCGGCCGGTTAATGATTATTAGCTAATTAGCGGTCCGCCAGTTGAGTAGCCCTGCTCTATTCGATGCGTCTTGATCGGAGCATTATCTGGAACAAATTTTGAACAATTTTATATACGTCACTATTATTCATATTTTTTACTTTTAAAAATTTTATCATGGATTTCCTACCAAAAATGTCTTTTGAACGTTTTCTCTTTATAGTGCTTTCTTAAGATTTTCTTTTTAAAAATTGAAATCATCGAAGTTTAGGACCGGAATAATGCAAAATTCAGTCAACAAAATCGATATCCACGCAAACGCATATTATTCTAGATTTAATTTTTTTCAAAATACGCCATAAAGATAGATTAAGGCCGCTTCTTTATGTTGTACTGTAAGTTTTTTTTATAAATATTAAGTGCAAAGTTTTCTTATGAGTACTCTATGTAATTAATATGCTCGAATCTTTATTTGCATCTTGTATCTTAACCGCAGTTATACTTTGTAACTAGATACTTTCAATGCATGCTGATTGTTGAATAGCCATCGGAAACACAGCTGTTACCGAAAATCTAATATTGGAAGTTGATGTCACTCACTGTTCGTATACTTTACATTCATATAAAAACAGAAGTTAATTATATTAATATTTCTACGTCATTTGAAGTATTTGTGGATCGAGCTCCGTATAACTTCAGATAAAACTAGTCGAAGATGGGCCATATAAATGTTGTTATCTTCCTGTTCCGAGACCAACCATGACGATCTCATAGCGTAGCTAAATTTCACATCACGTGTACAAAGTACACAGTTGACCCGTAACGTGCATATTATAAATTTAATTTTTTTTTTCGGGTTCCGTTTTATTACGTGTGAAATTTGGGTAAATTTACAACATTTTAAAACTCAATCTTATACGAATGACTAGTCAAAGTCAAAATTACATCCGTTCTAAGCATATTGGATAAAAGTGTTCATTTTCGGTTATAGGTATCTATTTGTTCATAGCGAATATAAAAAGCATCATTGTTCCTGGTTAGTCTTCCGAACGTAAAATTGTTCGCATAAATCAAAACGAACGTATTTCCGGATTTTTTTTTTTTTGCTATGAGTTATTTCATTGAAATTGATATGGCGGGCAATTTGAAAACAAGTAATATTACGAAGCCAAGCTATTTTTGCAATTATTGGCTTGTGCAGTTTACGCTGTGTAAAGACAGGTCAATTTCCTTAGATTGTCTGGCAATTTCAAGAAAACTTCTCAAGTCGTAAAATAAATTCATGTTTACTCTAAGTTAGTTCCGTCTTGTTTTAATTTTAGAAATATGTCGTCTTGTTCCGCCAATGGCTTGGGCGATTGATGTTCAGTCGATAAACCTGTCAATGGAAGCACGATATCCTATGGCTACTGCGAGAGAGCTGCATCTTGTTGATAGTCGGATGTTGTCTTAGTCAACATGAATTAGGGAACAACCGTGTCTGTTGTGTTTGTAGCCATGACATCATAAAGACATTAATTTCGCTTCTTTCTGGTTTCCGCGATGTTTAGGAGAAAGTACATGGCACATGGAGTTGGAGGGACAGACAAAATTAATTTTAGCCTTTATTTTATCAATGTCTATCATTTTCCTAAAATGCTCATTTAAAGTTACTGAGCAAAAGTACTGATAATTGCTGCAATTTATTACAGATTAGGATCAAATCAATGGGTTTATATCTTGAAATAATGAACCACAAAAAAGGTGGGAGGAACAGATTCCCATTTTTAAAGAATATGATAGCTCTCTTTTGATATATGTCTATTTTATAATAGGGCTTTGCTTTGAACAAATATCTGGAAAAACCCTCATGCATATCTCTCTTCCATTCTTCAAAAACCAACGTTGCTTCATAGATAAACAAGACTCCCCATGTGGCGGTGACGGCAATTAGCTTGGAGATAACTTTCTCAGTCTGAATCCCTTAAATCGTAATTATCTCTCCCACGTACCGAGATCTTGAAACTGTCAACGGGCGCCGGTGTTGTTCGTATCGCCTCCGCATAGTTTTCAGCTGTCTACCGAGTTCGATAACCACAATTGCGTCACCTTGTGATGGATTGAGACATTGTAAATGCTTTATAAAAAGCATTTCATACACATAAACACAGTGGGTTGAGGATTATGCGGTATGTATATTGTATTCTATATCTTTAATTTGAGACCAGCACAAGGAAAAATTGTTCGATGAATCGAAAGATATGAAAAATTAGGCATTTAAGATCGGTTTATATCTAATTGCGAAACCTACTCGACGTATTTTAATGAAGTAATATTCTTTAAAATGCTACAGAATGTCAGTGAAATTTAGATTATTGTAAATAGAAAAACGTTGACGAAAATGGAATGTTTTAAAGCATACTTTAAGTTTGAATTTCAATAGGATCTTTCGCATACTTCACTGTTCTTCTGTACTGTGAATGGTTTATTATAAAAGTAGAAATACAGTTTTATTCATAAGCCCTCGAGCATAAGCCGTTGATAGAGAATCGTTGAGGTCGGTACCTGTTTGCTACAGGGAGGCTATTCCTAACTAGCATATCATTCACGATATCGAATCTAGTCAATCACGACAGAACCGCAGTTAATTTTAACTAGTTTTATGGATCTTTGCAGAAGGTATATATTGCCCTAAACAATGCAATAAAGTTTGGAATTTTGTTGTATTCGTTTCATTACTCAACGAAATAGAGTCGATCGACCTGGAATGATTATGTTTGTTTTAGGCGTTACGTCTGCTCTATAAAATACATTTAAATTCTTGTTTGGGCAAGATTTATATCAAAAAGGTCTTCTCCACTTTACTCGCCATCAATCAAGCATGGTTTAACAATAAGTTCCGCTCGAAGATGAAATTTATTTGTGATCCATGCTTATATTACTGAGGTCGTGAAATTGAACTGAGCGACGTGGTTTCACGGGAGATGCTTTCACAAACATCGCCAGAATTAAATAAATATTCATCTTATGTCGAAGCAAATAGAAATCTGGTTATTCAAGGAGTGAACAGACTTAGATATCGCTTTATCTTGTAATGGGGATTTGGTTTCTTTAAAGGATGGAAGGCAAATACGGGCCTGACTTTATGTCAAGTTGGTAATACAGTAAAAGGAAGAATTGAGTAAATCTCAGTGCAGTCGTTCGCAGCCATCTGTTGTGTACTAGGAAGGTCGTTGAATGACGTATGTTGGTTTCCATTCTAGTAGAATGAGGTCAAAAACTTCTTTCGTATTCAACAGATCACCAAACGATACTTCAGTCCAATAATTCAAATATATTTGGTTCATACAGACCATGAAAACACAGGCGAAAATATACGCAATTAAACATAGTGTTAGATTTCAACTTAGAGGCGCTCGATCTTGTTTTGATCATTTACAGTGTGCATTGTACAGTATCAAATATATCACAAAACGGAAATAAGAATGATTTTATTATTTCTCACCAACAATTAAAAAAGCAGTGAAACCTCATCTTGGATCTTTATCAATGGCTTATAGGCTGTTATCTCTGTTTTATTAATCATATCTGTACCAGTTATAAAAATTTTATATGTTGTATTTGAATATTGAAAAAATGTGGAGCGTTGTATCTTGTTTTATCAATCGCCATTCATACATGAAGCAGATTAACCATGTTCAACAAAATATTTTTACAGGTAACATCCAAACCAATTCAGTATTTCTCATAATTAACACTGGTCATTCTCCTCAGCCTTTGGGTAACATTCAGACATTACAACAACCATGGCGGGAAAATATTTCCTGCTGACAAGTCTGTTGGTAATTTTTCTGTTTTTATCAACCGAGGGACGAAAACGCAAACGCCAAAGCATGAGAACAATAATGTTATCCGACGACCCTCTGGCTTCAGTTACTGCAATTTTGCCAAAAAGTGTGATGGGACAATGTACTTGCAAATGTTGTGAACCAAAGCCCGCACGTGAGTTAAACTATAGATGAAGCTAAAAGTGATTGATTTCACTCAAACTGCTAATATTTGAACCCAAAATGCATATTTTTATTATCCATTGATTACGGCATTACAATTTTTACGATATTCGCTGAACAATCTAGCTAAATGATTAGGCCAATTCAACAAATTGTTTCCTAAATAAATTAATCCAATTTAGTTTCCCGAATCTCATTACAACAAAAAAATACCTAAAAATGAGATATCCACGGTTTAAAGCACCATCAGTCACAAAAATTCAAGTCAATTATTTGGAATAATTTTTTTTTATGTATTTAGCAAATATCTTAAATAAAGAAAATTTCTAATATACTTCACGTGAAGAGAAAACACTCAATAGTATATTCAATGCTCTAATCGCACAATGGAATGTGTAAAGAGTCCTGTTATCATATGTGGTAAATGAATACACAAGTGCATTATTCGGGATATAAGCCCAAGGCGCTGAGATAAGCAACAGACCATAACGCTTAAATCTCCCCGGATTATCATGTTCAGTAGCCTAAAAAATATTGTTTCACGCAAGTGAGCAATGACGTTCACCCCGCTGATTTTCAAATCATATTGTTCTCACATTATTTAGGTGTCAAAGGTCATTTACTATAAAAGCATTTTTTGACCCATAGCGGATGTACTATGTATTTCCAATGTGTATTCATACTTTTCCGAGCGTATCAAAAACAAAATTTGTTTTCTATAATATATGGAATAAAAAAGTTCAATGTCAAATGATTTCATAAAAAAGCTTTGTTCAAGAGGAAGTCATTGGGAAATTAGAAATTTTTCATTTGTAACGTGTCTTATATCCGTTTAGATTCTTTACTTATCCTTCGAAATGATAACGAACTTTGATAATAGCCACACGTTGACTCACCCATTTTAGATTCATATCCTTATTAGCGTACTTTTCGGTTGAATATACTTATTTCTAAATGCTTCTGGCATTTCCGAAAAAGGGGCACTAGCACCGACCATTTGGCACCGGCGAGCGGATACGATATCCTCAGAATAGATACAAGCCATATGTTTGGTCAGCTGGTGTTCGCGTTGGGGCGCCGCGGAACAATCTTACACGATATCGGAAACCATGGCGCGTGTTCTTGAGTACATATTAGTTTCACTCTACAAACATTTGGATTTGCATTTCCAAATTTAATGATTGGTAATTCTGATTAAACTAACTAACCGCGATATGTACGTACAAGGTTTAGTTTTTGAACCCGCCGCTACGTGACGGGATAAAAGTTCACGCGCTAACGCGCTTTCGATTGGCCGTATCGCCTAGGTGAAGCACTTAATCCTGGCCACACTGACCGATGGTTTCAAAATGATAAAAAAATCGATAATTTTGATTAATGATAACGAAACTTGTTTTCAATCTTTTTTTTAGTTTTTGTTTCAGTGTTGCGTAAGATCGGAAAAGACCAAAAAACTGCTTCAATTGACTAGGCATATATGTTGAAATAAAAAGATAAATACGCCATATATCACATCCTGTCCCGCATCACATCTGCATAGTTTTGTTCAAATGAAGTTTTTCCCCATTGGAACTGTTCCTCACACATACACTATGAATACAGGCCGTAGTATACGATACTATGCCAACTTTCGTCTATTCCATCAGACAAACGAATATTTCGTGTCAAATTTTAAAAAATTTTCCCCATACACAATTGAAATGATTCTTTCTCTCTAATATACTTTTTTCAATCATACAAAATTAGAAGAATAGTAGGCTTTTTAAGACAAATCTCCAGGTTCCTATTCCCATAATAACAGCAAAGTTATTTCTGTATCTTGTTATTATCAGCCTATATTGCGGAACCGTGCATGAACGACATTATTGTTGCCGTCGACAGCAGTGCCTGTTTCAGAGATCATCACAGACGTATGGTGGGATTTCTGGAAAATCTTGTAAATCAAATCCACAAATTAGAAGGAGATGGTGGATTTGGAGAAGACAAGACAAGATTGGGGATTATGCAGGTATTTTCTCATGAGATAGATCGGGTTTTTATCAAATTTACCAAGATTTGGTATAATAATAGCAATAAACATACAATTATTGACATGTTGTGGGCGACTTTCTTCTTTTGAACGAATCAATAATCTTTACTGAATAAATATTGAAATATGGAGGTGAAAGTCAGTGTCAACAAGCGTTAATTTTTCAGTTTCAATTATTAACAAAAGGGCATCGTTGTTTATTTTTGGTTCCAATAATAGGTACACTTGAGTCGGCGTTCCTTTTTTGTGTTGACAAGGTTCAAATACTAATATACTGGCAAGTATATTCTGACTTTCTAATTATTTTTATTTATTTATTTTAAACGTTTAAACACTAAGTAAAGATTTTATTCTATTACAGTTCAGCAGTGAGATTAAACATGCCGTATCACTGAGTGATTTTGAAAACTACCAAAATCCTGAAACCAGTAGAAACCTCCGAAACGCCATTCGTGACAAAATTGTCAGACTAGAATTTCTTGGAGAAGGAGCCTACCTTGATAAAGGTCTCATCTTTTTCTTATTTATTTTAGAATATGAATCTAATAAAATTTGTGCCAATTATCAAGATTTATCATTTCTTCTCCGTCGTCGAAATTAATTAAATAAAACTACTTGTTTTGGGGAAAATGTCAGTTAACGTGATCGTGACATCACAAATTGGTACATTACTAGAAAGGCTCACTTATATCACCTATCAAGGTACCGTAAAATGCAATAACAGTGATTGCCTAGTTTTGGCTCAAATCACAATTCTGCAAATACCCACGAAGAGGGAAATTTATTGTTTATACTAAACCTTTATCTACTACCTAGCTCTCAACGAGACTGTCGGTGCATTTGAGGGAAACCCAAGACCTGATGAAGTCCTAAGGAAGAGAGGTGTTCCGAGAAAGGTATGTAATATACCAGATTTTCATACTTCTAAAAATGTACGTAGTACATATAAAACTTTGTGTAAAAACATATCGATATAAAGTACATTGCACAAATGATAAATAAATAAATATTTAGTTATGTTATATATATTTGCCGACTACAGGTAGTAATTCTCCTCACCAATGGAAAAAGTCACCCCAATGTTAAAGACACAGATATACAAAATTCGGTTTCGCTGATGGAAAAGAATGGTATACTGGTATATCCTGTTTCAGTGACCAAGCGATGCTAGTAAGCGAAATTTGCATAAGGTTTTCTAAAATCAAATATGGTACCAATAATGTTTCTACGAGAACCGTATCTTTGACTATTTCCGTAACAATGAACAATCAGCAATAAGCATGAATCGACATTTGTTTGCAGCCCTCAGACGTTTCAGTCTTGTTGGTTTGTGTGCAATTTGTCAGCCTTTGTTTTGTTTTTGAGATTAGTCATAAATCAAATCAAACAGTTCTCGGAATATGCAGTAAAATTGATTTTTCTTGGGCCAGGCGTCGGGGAACATAAGTTTTGAGCGTTGAGTGCTTCTGCTCATCGAATAGCGACAATTTTTTCGTATTTTATAATCTTGTCTTCTCTTTCTTCTTATTGTGGCAAATGTTTACTGTTTTAGTGGCATAAACGGACCTGATTCTCTCGATTGGCAAGAAGGTCTTTGCCCGGATGTCAATATTCTCAATATGATCGCACAAATTCAGACAACAGAGGATAGTGAATTCGTATCGATGAGATCACGTGATGTTGTACAATCGCTCGCGAAAGAGGCCACTGTAAGTATTTTTACATTTGACCAAATATATAGATGTATACAAATTTCATTATTAATTTTCTTTTCTTTCTTTTTCAGGACGTAAGTTGAAGAATACAAAATCTAATAAAGGGGAAATCAAATTGTTTAGGAAAAATATATAAATTTATGATATTTTTGCGTTTTATTTCAACCTTTTTTCTTGCACCCATATGACTTAAAATTTTATATTAAATGAATATGTTTATCACGGTATATGCGCATGTGCTTTTTAGTAGTTTATTTACTTTTTAAGATTTTTCAAATAAAAGTGAATAATAAAGCATGAGTCGGATAAACTCACCTATTTTCAGAATACTTGAAATAACATTGCTTTTATCACTTCTGCTTTTCAGTGCAATTTTAAACCACCAGACGATTTGAAAAGTCCCTGCAATAACTGCACCTGCGATTGCGAGGTATGTTCACTGTTCACTATACTCTAGGTCAAATTTCGAACCTTTTACCGTTTTTGGTCTCTTCTATATGTAAAATTTGTAAATTTATTTTGACGATAAACGACTGCTATAAATTTATGTTTAAAATAATGTTATAGTTTTTAAAATAAAATTCGTTTAACATATTTTAAAGGTCACTATTTTGCAATATTTAAACACTAATAATAATCTCTAATCATATCGTTATGATATCATCTTAAAAAGTTTGAAATAAACTTCAATTTTTCACATTTCGCTGCAGCGCTGAAGGGAATTTCACAGTGAATATCGTATGTGTACAAACACACTCATATTGTTACAATATATTTCTCTGTGTTTTTGATAAAATCTAAATAGGAGGCAATTTATCATTAACAGTTTTTACATTGGACACCACCCTACTAATTTAATCCAGTAATACTTAGGTCTTATTTTACATATATATTATCCAAATTCCAGCTTCCAGTTGGACCAGAAGGTGAAAAGGGAGACAAAGGAGATAAAGGCGACAGCATCATAGTACGTAATATCTCATAAAAGTGAAGAATCTGAACTTTAAACTTTAATACATATTTAGCACAATGCTTTGAAAATATCACTGAGTAGAGAACATTTGCCCAATAATTCAAATCTCAGAGTTCAGTATAAACCATTAGTAAAGAAAACCAATAAATATTTCCTCCGATTGCGGTACATTTCGTTATTGGATTGTTCGTCATAAATATTTTGATATGTTTTTTTTTTGCAGGGCGAACCTGGTATACAAGGTGAAGTAGGACCTAAAGGTGACGTAGGTGATATCGGTGCAAAGGTATGTTACCATTTATGAAATATTTTGTGGAGTTTATATCTAATAACTTTTACTTTTCAAACCTGATTATCAATTATTTGTTTCCTGGGCTGTGTTTTCTTGAATTTGTACGAATCTTACTACGGGTTAGCTTTTCTGCGGCCACTCATGCTATGGGTAATCGTTCCATTTTGGCGGATCGCGATGTTGCGTTGAGAAAGTTTATATAAAAACTAAACGTAGGGAATTTGAAATTGATAAATTTTAATATATAATTTAAATTGCTACTTTTTGTTAACAGGGCGAACAAGGCGAAAAGGTAAGATAAAGTACAAAGAAGCTCAGTAAGTGTATTTATATATAAAACTAGACAGATGTAATGTCAACAATCAATTTCTTATGACAGGGAGGAAAGGGAGAATTCGGAGATAAAGGAGATACGGTAGTACAGTTTTGTTTTTGTCAAAAGGCCAATAGACCAATATACCAAATGCATATATAACAGTTTTACAACAATGCAGCTATTTGGATTAAATCTTGAAAAAGAATAATAATAACAAAAAAGGCTTTTTAATAAATTTCTTTATATAGTTAAACATATTTTTTAGTGTATGGAATGCAATTTTAGAACAACCTACAAAATTATACTGCATTTTACCAACAGTATAAACACTCCTAAATAGTAAAACTTATATTTATGTTAATCTAATGCATTTTAAAAGAAATGCTATATCATATTAAAAAACTTCTTCTGGTTCAAAATTTGAACAGCTGCAATTTGGTCTAATCCCAATTGAAGTTTTTCCGCCTGAAAAAAATATATTCAAGAACGACTATTCCCTAACTAACACATAACAAATTGCCTTTTCAGGGAGAAGTTGGACCTAAAGGTGATCAAGGATTAGAGGTAATTCGAAATATTAGTAGCATCGTATTTTTTGAATTTTATGGAGTGGGGTCTTTTAATGGCGAAACCTTTAAATAGTTATTTAGATTTCTATAGGGAGCCCAAAATCGCATGGGCAAACTACTTCACGCGGCCATTCGACATTATAATCCGACTCGACCGCTGTGGTAACAAAAGTTATGGTTTGAAGATTACTGTTAACCTGGAAATAAGTCAAGTCTTAATTTAGCCCAGCCAAGAAAAAATGAAAGATCTTTCAAAAGAATAGTTTTCTATTCATAAACTCTTTTTATACTCAAGGTATAGAAACTATTTTGTCCCAGATCCAAAAACGTTAGCCATCCCCTGTCTACTGTAAAAAGTAAATCCATTTATTGCACAACACAGAAATTTGTTACCATTCATATTATAATTTTGTCATAATCTATTTTTAGGGTATTCAAGGACCCGAAGGAGAAGTTGGAGAAAAGGTTTGTTTTTATTTATAATCTTTTTTTTTTATATAATATTGCTCAAATTCATAGTACGAGTTGAGTAAGAGTTACGCTCGAGTATTATATTTCTACTGTAATAAATTTTTTAAAATTGTCAGTTTCTGAAAAAAGACCCCTAGTGTCGAAAAAGACTTTCACGCACCTCTTCATTTTCTGAAAAATTATTGCCTACGATGCTATGCCCGCTTCCTTGAAGTATTTACAGGTTTATAGTTTCCAAAGCTATTTTGCTCCTTTCTACAATATGGTATTTTGCTTTTTATTCAAGCAATCCAATTTTTCACGACATGTAGAAAATACGTTGTGCTTATACAGATATCAGTATAAATCATGTATGTTGCTTTTAGGGAGATACCGGAGAAATAGGACCTAAGGGTGACTTGGGAGATAAGGTAAGCTATATTTATGCATGTAATAAATAAAAATGTCAACAAAAATATTATTGATGAATATACTTTCTATGATGTACATTACATGAGATTGAATATATCCTCAAACCATTTGAAATCTTTTTTTTATTTTTTAGGAAATAATTATTATTATTAATTTTGTTTTACTTAGGGAGATTATGGTGATAAAGGTGATGTTGGAGAAAAGGGTGACACTGGTGAAACGGTCAGTACTGGACATTTATTTTACAAATTCAACTAAAAATATTTTTTTTAAATTTCGTCTATTTATATGTCGTAACTTATGTTTTCGAATACATTTTTATTTGTAATACATTTTGTGTATTATATATAATTGCATTTAATCTCTTTAATTACACTAAAGTATTTATTTTTATATTTTTAGGGACCTGAAGGTTTAAAGGGAGAATACGGTGACAAGGTATAATAACTTATTACTACTTTCTAATACTCTATGCTCCTGTACTTAAATTTATTTATTTTATTTATTTATTCATTTTTTTTTTATAAAATAATGAATAAATAATAGGTTCTTATTTTTGTTTTTTTGATCTCGATATTTTTATATTTATTTTATTTTATTACGAATTGTCTCGTTAAACGATTCCAATGTTTATTTATCATTTATTATCTTTGATTGTTTATAGGGCGAAACTGGAGAAAAGGGAGACAAAGGAGAAGATGGAATCGGAATTGACGTAAAATACACTTTATATGACGTCATAGTAATGCGTAAATTTTAAGAAATTGATGCATTGTCTTTTTCGTTCAGGGTATCGACGGAAGACCGGGAGACAAAGGAGATAAGGTGCATTATTGAATATTTTAGATATTTTAATTAGATTATAAATTTAAGCAAACATTCTTGGTACTTGCGAATTGCAAATATTTTCAAATATTTCTGCTTTTTAACTACGATTAACATTGTATTTTTTGCATTTACAGGGTGATTTGGGAAACAAAGGAATGATTGGACCAAAGGTGCGTTTAAACTACGCTTTTTTTCCAAGTTCTAAATGATAAATAGTTCGTTGTAATACTTTGTTGGCAGATTTTAGAGCAGTTTCAAATTTTCAGTTTTTTTTTGACATCTTCTCATTTAATTTAATTCAAGTTATACTCTAAATATTTCTTGAAATTAGAAGATAAAATAAAAGTTTGCTACATCTGTGTAAATTTCAATGTTTACAGGGTATGACTGGACCCCAAGGTCTTTGTGGAAAACCTGGTCCCGCTGGAATTCCTGTGAGTATATTGTTCATTCATTTTTAAACACTTGTATTGTTCAATATCAAATATAAAGTCTTATGAAATTAACCGGGAAGCTGTATTTGTATCCCCAACGTGATTTATTATAAATTTCTCACTGTTGTTAAACACCAATAACAAACTATGACACAGATGCCATTTAACTTTGATTTAAAATATAAGTGAATAATCTAAATAATCTTTCAATCGTATCATTGTCGTTATAATTTTATCTCAGGGCGATCGGGGATTACCTGGACTTGATGGTGCTGATGGATCAGCTGTAAGTATTTATAATCTGATTCAGGAATATTTAGAAATATAGAACAGTCACAAGTGTAAGAATTAGAATAAAGGGCATTAGATGACAGTGAATATATCTAAAAAGGTATATCTGTATTAATATATCAAGCTGTATCTTGGATCAAGAATATCAAGAATGCCAATATCTACGATCGCATACTAAGTTTCTGTAAAATTATTAGCGGCAGCTTATGTTATTTTGCAAATGAAATCATGGTTGGTACATCAGATAATAGTCGCCTAATGTTATATATCATCATACCAATGATAATATTCCAGTGGTTCCCAAATTGTGGGTCGCGCCCTCATCGCTTGAAGAAGATACGGCGCACACAAGTCGCTCGGATTTGTTGGCAGGAAAGTGAAATTTGCTTTTTTGTTTAAATATTAAATGACAATTACATGTCAACCTTTTTCTTTTTCAAGTTATCTTTGACTAGCTTGGGGGTTATCCATAATTTGGGTCAAAACCAAGGGGTGGAAAAATTATTTCACTCTATCGCACTGATATTCTGCTATTCCTCTGTCCGTCCAGTACCGCCGCACTGAGTTCCGAAAACTTACAGAAGACAAACGTATGATCTCGTTAAGATAATTAAAATAATATCTAATGTTTTTTTTTTTAAATTGCTGTATATTCTTTATTGTGGGGTCACGAGTATCTATAATTTTTATTTTCCGAAAATTGCGGTCGCGGGAAAAAAAGTTTGGAAACCACTGCTGTAATCGACTAGAGAAGCTAAATTAGCAGATTATAAAAAAACAGCTAAATTATGAGAAAGTCAATGTAACCGATTTGATGAAAGCCAATGTTCTTATTTTCAAAACTGAAAATTAGCTAAAGACAATGATATATACTAAGTTTCTGCGTTATCAAATTCAAAAATTATGATTGTTTTTTCAGGGACCCCCCGGACTCCAAGGACCTCGTGGCGAAGCAGGAATTCAAGGGCGAAAGGGAGAAGCTGGTCAACGCGGACTTGATGGAGATGCCGGACCGCTGGGTCCTCCAGGAATTCCTGGACCTCGTGGACCACAGGTTGTTCCAAAATAAGTTTCTTTTGTAATGAATTTCATAATTAGAATAAGTTGTCATGTTAAAAGTGAATATATATAAAAGTACTGCGATTGAGTAATAAATTCTGTTTACATGATTATTAAATTTGGGTTCCATTACATTTGAACCCACGTACATTTGGACCCACGACAGTTGCACCTGCATGCCATTGCACCTATAAAATTTTTTTTGGTTTTACGGATATTTGTACCCATACTAACCTAACCCATGGGTTTTAGCACCCGCATATTGATTGAACCCGCGGATATACACATGGGTTCAAATGTACATGGGTTCAAATGTACGGTCACCTTAAATTTGACATCTTCTATTTTTTAATCATAGGGAGAACCTGGCGAAAGAGGAGCGGACGGTGCTGAATCTGTTGTACCTGGACCAAGAGGACCATCCGGTATACAGGGGCAAAAGGTATGTGACATCTTGAAGCAATGATTAGTACGGCTAGAGTGAGAGCCGAATTTGAATATTTTCAATCCTTCAACCGGCTCAAATCATAACTCGACTTAATTATTGTGTGTTTAATCTCCATAACCTCAATTCAAACAAAAAGACGAATTAAAATTAAATCGAAATATAATATATAAAATCGTTATATTATAACAATTAAACCCCATCAACTTTTCACAACCCTAATGTTTTACCATTTTGTTCCAGGGAGAAAGGGGTTCCGCCGGCGAAGACGGACTGAATGGTTTGCAAGGACCTCCCGGTTCCCAAGGACCAAGAGTAAGATTACCTATTTTTATTGCACACGACGTAAGACTAGGGATTCTTTTAATACATTATTGTTGTTGATTTTGTAGAAAAAAAATTACCTTTCTCTGGAACTAATGCACCAATTGATTTTAAATTTTTTTAAATTTTACTTTTTTTCGGTAATTTTCTTTCACAAGTCCTACGAGACCATACCTCGATGTTTTATTTTTGTTTTTATTTTGCAACGGTCTTTTCATTAAATTCGATGGTAGACTAGGACCTTACCGTACCGGTACCGGTGCGCGACCATCGTGTCAATTTATTTGAGCTTTGCCTTCTTGGGGATGTATTTCCAACTTTCTACTTATATTTATTTACTTCTTCATTTATAATCAGGGAAATGTTGGACCCAAAGGTGAAGAAGGTGCTCTGAATATAGAAGAACTGAAACCGATGATTGTGGATATCATCAGAGATCTTCTGCCAGGAGGTTCATATCTTAATTAAACTTGATATTTATTTATGTAACATTTTTTTATGTACGTCTCTGTCGAAGCTTGTAACCCAACTAAGTTTCAATTTGTAGCATTCATTGGCGCAAATCTCATTTTTATCTAAATAATCAAATCCTCGGATTTTGAAAAAGTTATTCCGAACACTGGTGAATATTCGAACTTGTATACGAGTATATATATATTTAACGAAAGTTGTGTAAATGACCTTTATTCCTCTATCGATATATATACCATAACACTTTTAGTTTTAATATTAATTTCTTACAACAAAATAAACAGGCATTTTCTAAACTTCGTGTTTTTTATTATCAGCATCTATAACTTTTTCTTCAAAAAATAATTTTTTTTTCAGAATGCGGTAAGCGAAACAAGTTCTACTTACGTGAGTTAATAGTTACAACCATCGGGCTGAAAAGTTGGCATAAGTATATTTCCATAGAATAGGATTCGAGGTAACTCCAATAAACAGTTATTGAAACCCGGAATACCTTTTTCATCAATGTATGTTGCTTGTATGCAATACAACTTGTTTGTCATGACGTGGTCAGCAGTCACTAGCATGTCTAAATTGGTGAATAATTTGTGGTGTTGTGTGTGACTGTGCATGCCAAATCTAAAAAAGTTTAGATTTGGATAGCCTTGTTCAGCTTCATATTTTTTGAAAGCTTGTGAAGAGATATATTTCCTTTTTAAGTTAGCTTTTTAAAAACCACAGAATTAGCGATAGTAATGCAACATAATACATTACTTTGAAGATATAATATAGATGTGAAACGGCGATATATATAGTTAGTGCATTCATAATCATACTCTCATCACCTATTTCAAGCTTCGTATTGTAAAAATAGCGCTTTGGTGTTACATAGCAAGCAACATTTGCCATTGTCATGTAAATTCACTTGCTTTTGTGTGTACTTTTTTGCACGGCAACCACAATTCACCGTCACTACATGCGTCAACAACAATATGATGTCAAATCATCAACGCTGATGGTCTATACAGCTGAACCACATAATAAGACAATCGATATAGTATGCACAGAATATCCAGTTGATTTGGTATTCCTCATCGACGGAAGCGATTCGATTGACAGAGATGACTTTGCCAATGTACAGCAGTGGATCCTCCAAACTGTTAAAAGTTTTGCCCCAATGGACCGTGAGAGTCCTCTTCAAATAGACGTGGTGCAGTTCTCCGAAGCCAGTCGCACAGAAGTGCATTCTCTCATCTATGAATCATCCAACGAAATCAAAGATCGAGTCGAATCCATAGAACAAATGAGATCGGGAACAAAAACCTACAGAGGTCTTCGCTTCGTGAACAGTAATGTATCCCCCGGAATCAGACCGGACTCATACAAAATCCTGATCACCATGACGGATGGCGATGCAAGTGAGGACCGTGACCAATCCGCCATTGACGAGGCAAGAGAATTTTACAACATCATGCTGGCTGTCGGTGTAGGAGACAAGATTCGATTTGAAGAATTGGAGGATTTCGCTCACATGACAAAAAACAGAGTTTTTACCGTCGATGATTTTGCTCGCTTGGAGAGTGTTGTCGAACAACTCGTGCTAGAGAGTTGTCGCGAAATTGGAGAACAAATAAGAGAAGGTATCACTTGACAGGAAATAATTCTCTTGCTTATTTTTAGCTGAAAACTAATTTGCAAGCTTTCAACTAATTTGTGCACAAGTTCTTTCTTTTTCAACGTTTGTATTTTTAATTTTTCCTATAATTCTCCCCACTGATATTCAGTATGCTACCTAGTATGCTAATTTTAAAAATACTTTACGTTCGATGAATCCGAAATTCAAAATTGTTAAATTGGATCTTATTAACCTTCTAATATTTATATGTAAATATAGTTTTTTACAATCAATAAGTGTTTGCGTAAAACTCATATTATAAAACTTTGGCTTAATCTTTCCAAAAGTGAGATATGCCCGCTATTAATATCTAAATAAATTAAATAATTAAATAATTCTGCAAAAACGAAGGTAGTATAAAATATTGGAAATTTGATTAGTTTTGCATGATTTTGCTACACTTTATTTCTTGCTTTTATTGTTTCTTTCTCCATTCCCCGTACATATTTTGTTAATAGTAGGCTAATGTTAGCTTATTAGTAACAGACTAACCTGCCACCAACCCCCAAAAGAGTCCTCAAATAATCTGTAATTCAAGAATATACCATGCTATTAATCGCCCAGCTATTATAATTTGCTATCAATACTTGCTTCATCAACAACATTCAATGATAGCATTGTTTATAGATTATTGTTTTTGAATATTTATAATATTTGACAATGAATCTAGGATATATTTGCGATGAGTTTACTATCACTTTAAACTAATAATAATTATCTGTAATGGCGCATAGCTGTTTTGGGAATTATCGCTGTAATAATATATTTGCACTACGATAAACTAACTTCGGATGATAATTTTTTAATTACGAAACATTAAAAATAATGCCAAGCCTAATTGAAAGATTAAAGTTCAAAAATAATATATTTCACGCTAACATCACGCACTTTTCGTTTTTTCTTATTTTCTTTTTCGGTGTGTTGGATAGAGTGCTTCAGAACCTTGTATCAACTCTTGCAAAGAAGTTATCAAATCAAAATCAAAGGGTAGCACATAATTACTCATTTGAAAATAAAAAGCAATAAAATATTCAAGTTTTCACTCATTTTATTCCATTCAGAAATTCATTCAGTAGTATCATACAAAATAGGAGAACGCGTCAAGATTTCTAAACAAATAAGATCACGAAATCATACGACAAACAATGGCGTTTCTTGCTAAAAACTAAACTCAATAAAGCTAGGCTTCCCCAAATGCACGCGTTCACCAAATGCACGCGAGGCTTTTTGTAAATTGTGCACATTTCGCATTGCATGCCTTCATAGTTTCGCACTTGGTTTAGTAATTTATATAATGTCTTATCATATGTAATCAAATAATAGTTTATTTATTAGGCATGTAGACATGTCCATCCTTGACGGGGGGTAGCGTGCATGAATCTCTTATTGCATTTTTTTCTGTGTTTTTGTTGACATATGTTCTCTCCTTTTTCTTTCTCTCCATTTTTCTCACTTCCCAGATGCTGCAAAGACCACTGAAGGTGAGGCATTCAGTTACTAATAGCCTTAAATAAAATAAGAAGTGCAGCAAAAAAAATTTAAAATGCGAAAATATGATTTCATATGTTATGTAAAAATCAATACATGCTCCAAAATAATACATATCTGAAAATTGACAAAATATCAGATAACGTGGATACGAGAACTCTGTTCATCAAACAGCCATGTTTAGTGCTTCATTCTGTAAAAAATTAAACCACATATTAAGTATCGGTCTGCAAGGAAAATAATATTACTCATATCTTTTTACGTCTATATTCTTATGCTTGTGTGTGCTTTGTGGTGCAATATATAAGCCTGAGTAATTTAAGTTTGCTTTCTATCATTCAACGTTATCGACGAATGTTTTTTCTGTTTTGTTTGCATTTGTCATTGAGCATGAAAATCACTAATATTTAATCTGGTGAGAATAGTGAACTAACCATTAAAATGTTATCATTTGGTCTTTGTGTTTGATTTGAAACATTTCACGTTATTTTTGAAACAATTCGTCAAAATAATTCCATTTCCCTGTTAGCGTGATGCAGTTGCATTATATAACGCTAACACGACTGCTGAAATACGCAGAATATAAAATCCTATTTTAAACTGTTACCTAATTTTCTGAAATTGAAGTTAATTTCTTATTTTTCGTCCATCAGTATGTTTGGGTATATTTTTTTCTATTGCTTTTCTAATAAGTCTTATGCATGTCCGTGTTTGCACTATCTCATTGCAGTAACTTGGACACGTCTGTTCTGTTTTCGTCGACTCACGTTAGCTAAGTCCGACGCAAAATTCAGTCGAAAGTCATTTTCAATCCATGAAATGAGTCCAAAAGTTTCAAAAGTCTGTGGAATTAAAAAATTACTAAATTCGAAGTTGATAATATTTCATTGATGAGGCCAAGAAGAGAAACAGTTGATTTTTAACCGGCCTTTCATCAAAATAGTTACTGCAATGAATAGTGAACAATCATGTTATTAAAACATGTATATATTCCAATATTATTGAAAACAAACATACAATGCTTCAACTGTTTCTCTCTTTTCCTTCTCAATGCAGTCAATCGACGCAAGCGCCGCCACGCTGGAAAACACCCACGACATCACAAGAAGCAATCCGCTGCATCACCACCAGAGATCATTCAAGATTAGAGAGAAACATTGAATTTAGTATTTTCAAACTTGTAACCCTCAACATGTATCAAACTGCTCAGTTATCCTGGATCTGCCACTATGGCTTTTCATTCAACGTATCTGGCTCAACATAACCATTAAAGAGACTTTCATTATACCCTACGTAAAAATATTGTCGATCGAACAAGATTCGCTTTCACGCTTAGATTATTCTACTGACAAACCCATTTTTATATTTCTTTCAAAGACTTTGTTGTTAGAAAGTCTGAAAACTTCCAGACGCCACGCTTGCTTATCCAATATAAGATAATTGACTTTTATATACATTTAATATTGGCATTAGCTAAATAATTATTATTGCTCACTTATGGCTGCTACAACTGATTTCGTGAACAAAAAAAAATAATCCACATAATTTTGAAATAATTTTTTACTGCAAAAATAGAAATTAAACAAATTAGATTTAGCACAACTGGCCCTTTGATTAACTAAATAATTTCAATTAATTCACAATATCCAGCAATTGACTGTTCTAAGTCTTTCGCAGAACATGTTATAATCTCATAAATAGTGTCGAATGTTTGGTCCGAAAACTCCAGTCTTTCACGGTTCTTCTGTTTAGAATTCAGTAATTACAACAATTGTTATCAAGCATATGTTTTTTTTTGTTTTCTCCGCGGCATTTATTTTCAGCATATCATCACGCGCTTTTCTTGAGTATTCATTCTTCAGCATAGCATATTTGTTGTTTGCATATATTTCTTTATCAATTATTTTTGATAAAGTTGTTTTGATCTAAATTACACGAAGGATATTGTACTTCAATTCAAACAAATTGCTTTAAATTTTATTTTAATCATTTATGGATGGCAAAAAATAATGGTAATAAATATAATCAAACTAAAAAAACTCATTATTGAAAGAGGAACTACTATTCATTTATAGATTTGGCATATATTTGATTTTTTTTAATTTGTCTACTAGTTAAGGCTTTTATTATGCAGTACTAACATATGTCGATATAAAAAGGCATATATATTCAATCCAATTTTAATTTCATGTATTAAAAGTAGTTGTTACCCAATAAAGTAGGTATTATCAATCAATGCAAACAGGACCAAGGTGTTTTCAGCTATATTGTACAAGATGTTTAGTTGATGCGATTTTCCCCGGATTGATGAATAAATGCATTTTAGTTTCGAATATTACGAGAATCAATTTTATGTTAGTGTTTACGGTGTCATTATTTTGGTCCTGAAAATTCTTTTCAGTTGATATAGTTTCAGCGTTTCGACTTTTTTCGTTTTCTTTTTTCATGTTCATTTTGAAATTACACGAGCAAAGATCACTTTTCATAATAAATTGTAAACAAAATACTAATAACGAGAACAATAAAAAGCACGATTAATTGTTTACATTTGCCTCTTCTTTACGTGAGCTTTTTTAATATTCAGCTCCTTGGTTTGTTTGAGGGTAGTCCACTAAACAGTAACAAGACTTCAAATCAGGTTTTAGCTTTATAAAAGCATGGTTGTTAATAAGTCGTGGTCTGTTTAAAAATTTTGACTTTTTATGTACTTTATTATTTTAGTGTATCATGTTTTCCATTTCTATGCTACACCGCATGAAAAAGTGAATGAATGCATGAGCTATTTTATCCCTCACGGTTTTCGGGTTTCTTTCTGAATTTCGTCGTTTTATGTCTTTTATACGCGTTTCCAAAATAATGCAGTCAATTAATCTTTAAATGTTTGCTAGATTTTTCGACTTTTTTATCGAACAAAAACGATAGATTTTGATCGTTTGGCCAGTAAAAAAATCGGCTCAAATAATAGAAACAACCTAAAGAAAAAACGATCGCAATGGTAAAAACGAGAAAAATAATAATAATTCTTAAAAATTTTGTTATTGTTCCTAATTAAAATGCCGTGCAGCCACGGACGAAGATGATGGGGAACCAACACCGCCACCCGATGAGGAATACTCTAGATGCGGAGATAGCCAAACAGATATCGCTTTTTTGGTTGATGGAAGTTCGTCTGTCGGAGATGAGGACTTTAACCTGCTACGTAAATTCTTATACGATATTGTCGGGAGTCTTGAATACATTGGACCTGATGGATTCCGTGTGTCAATCATACAATACAACGAAAGTCCAAGGTAAACGAGCATTTCCATCACATCACTCACTTTGTGAAATTTTACCTGCATTCAATAATAATACATTTTAAGTTGCCTTCAGGTGCAATGTTTATTGCTTTTTAATGCTTACATGTCTATTATGTTTGACATAAACTTTTATTCAAATAGTATTCAATGCATCCAACCTGAAACATTAGGATTAGAAAGTGTTTTAAGCTGTCAGAATATATCTGCAGAATGAAGTGTAGGCCTAACTCTGATTATGTCACTTTAACATGGAATTGACGAATACCAATACGAAAACAAAATTTTACAGAATTGAATTGAGATTTGAGGAATCTGTCAACCCAGCAGCAGTTTTGAGCACAATTGAAAATATTCGTTATATAGAAGGAAACACACAGACTGGACATGCCCTCAATACGACGAGACAAATATTCAATACAATACGCGAATCTGGAGAGAGGCGTAAAGCTAGCCAGGTTGTGGATCATAATTGTTAAAAAGACTATCATATTATTTCAACTTTGAAAACGGTCTTCTCATATTTATTCTCCAATAATCTCTTTGTTCGTTTAAAATATATTTTTATGATACTAGCGCTGTACCAACTTGTCCTCTACCATTTTTGACTGTCTTATTCTCCTGTTGTCTAACTAACACAGCATATTCTTATGCAAACCCACAGGTCATTGTCGTGATCACTGATGGAAGAAGCCAGGATGATGTTATAAAACCAGCGGCCTCCCTCAAGAGAGACGGTATTAGAAAACATTTTAAGGACATTAAATATTAAGCCAGTCTTATTCTGAGCTATCAAAATAGTATATTTATTAACTTGCAGCTTTTTCAGAAAAGAATAATAGAAAATCTTTTCTGTTGCGATGCAATGTAAGAAAACTTAACTATATTTAAGTTTTTATAGTATATATCACTGATGAGTTTCTGAATGATATACTAAAATAAACTAACCTTATATTTACTCAACTCTTTCTTAGGTGTTGCAATTTTCGCGATTGGTGTGACCGATTCTTCAGAGTACGTCGAATTGGCTGAGATTGCCTCGCAACCTTTGGATGACCACGTGTACATTGTGGATACGTACGCAGAAATAGCAAAGATTAAGGACAATCTTCTTCAGAAAATATGTAAAGATGTGAAAGGAAAATTCAGAGGTGAGGATCGCCTTGATCTATAAACGTTGCTACAACTTTTGAACTCTTGACACTTGCACTCTGCATGGATTGGACTTGCACGAATAATCAAGTTGACTCAAATATGAGAAGATACAATTATTAGTCTGACATAATCTGGATTTTAATTTTATTGAACTCAGTTAGAATGTAATCAATCAATTTTGAAACAACCTTGTTTAATTGATACTTAACAGGATATATGATTTAATACCAGGACATACCACCTAGTTTTTTAAATGAACGAAATAACATAATTTTTAAACGTCTCTACTTCAATTGAATGAGTAACTCTAAATTTACCTAAATTTACCTACCTGATTCTTAGTTTTTAGTATATACAGCGCTAAATTATCATTTGTTCAATTAGTTTTCTATTATTTGTAATTCCTTTTTTAACCTTCGCTGAATGAAGTCCAATGTATGCTCATCAAGGATTGTTATTATTGGAATTTCAAACTAGTTTTGTAGCTTTACTAACATCCGTTCATTTCTCACACTTTATTGTGACCGTGGCCACTAATAATTATTCCTTTTTAATAATTAAACATCCACTACAAATTAATTCGTTACTATAGATAACCTATTACCACTTTGTTGTTATACTTTTAATATCTAGTTCATATGAGTTTTAAATTATGTGGAAATCTGTGAACTTACTTGCAATACCAATGATTGAATAATTTTTTGCAACTATAATATTGACGATTATCACTATAGCGAGGACTGACTACTCGGCTTTCATTGCACTCTTAAGCAAAAAATACTTACGTTCTTTTTAACACCAAGTATTAGTTATTTACGGGAGTCGATTCTCTGGCTATCCCCAATATCGTTCATGCTTATGAATAAAAAAAAAAGCTCTACCGTGTTGTCACATATTCTATCTCGAGTATCTCTTATACATGCTTTAATAGATGATATTTTGCTTATGGATTTCACTAATGCACAACTGCATGATAATTATATTTGAATTATTAATTTTTTTTATCAGTAGTCAAGCATGAAGCAGTAGTACAAGGTTGGACAGATTTCTTAACAACCGAATAAGATTGTAATGTATTTGTATATAACAAATATGATTTGCGATTGGTTCTTTTGTTTTCATTTTGTTCCTCATTCATTTTTATTTTTGTCTCTGGCATGCCTTTTTGGTTCTAATAAAATTTAAAATAATATTTTGCATGATTTCAGTGAATTAGTAATAAAACATCCGCAGGACAAAGCAAGATAAATCCTTCTTCAGGAAATTTTCGATTTCCAAGCTTTTAGCATCAAATTGGAATTGCAGTAAAATATTTCCGTACGGCATATTTATTACATAAAAACTAAGTAGAAACTAAGTTAAAATGATGGCATTATATTTTGAAAAAAAAACATTGCTTTTATATATGTAATATCTTTCAAGCCCTAATTAAAGCATAGTATGTATAAGTTCAGCGATTCTATTAGGCAATTTATCATTCTTAACTTGTGTTTGTGCATGATATTACGTCATAATCCGGTACATACAAATTTCATGACGTCATCATTCTGCTTGTGTCACGAATAACTCAATCATCCACAGTCATCGGCGTCAATGGAGAAACCATCTACGAGGACGACACAGATCTTGCTGAGGAAGATCTTATTGAAGCAGGTTTGAATAGTTCCATCCATATCATGATAACAGTTTGCATATTTTGTTGCATGAAGCTACAAAAACTGAACAAAATAACCGTAGTTTATATGTTAGGGTAGGGATTTTCAAACTTGTGATGTTATGGAGCCCGTGAAAAGGTTAACTATACCGGATCCTCATAACAAATTCAAAAATACGAAAACAAAATACACATTGTTTCTTACCGATTAATTTTCCTGAGTAAATTGAAATTACTGATTTAATGACTCGGATGTTTGTGCTGCTTTGTATTTTAAAAATATTCAAATTGCGGTTGTCAAATTTTATTAAATGCGATTATTCTTTGGATAGTTACAAAAGTATCCAAGTCAGTATTTTAATAAGTAAACGAATAGCTCGCGGATCCGTTTAATTTAGGTGAATGAAGCCTTGGAGTATCGTGAAATTAGGCTCTTCACTTCTGGTTTAATATGAAAATTTTGTTGTTCATGTCTCGTTTCGCAATCATTAAGTAGATAGGTATACGGTTTCAAAGTTAATAACTGTTTCATATATTTTGTCCATATCAAATTTTGGACACGCGTTTTAATAAATAAATACCTTCTTTTGCGATTTTGAGCTCAATATTTGGAGACTGAAAAAATACGCACATAATTTTTCAAGATCCTGAATGATGGAACACAATATTTTCCTAACAAAACGTGATTATATCACTAGGTATAGTTACTATAAACATAGAAATAGGTTTACTTGTATAAAATAAGTATAGAACTTCTCATTCTTGTTATTATTCAGCGCCAGACGACGAAGATAATTATTCACCAGATTATGGCTCTGGTATAAACGGAGAAGTTTCTTTTGAACTGGTACCTTAAAGATGAAAGATTGATTAAGCCTTCTACATGCTTTTAATTGCAACCACTTTGAACAAATATATATATTTGTGTTTTAGATTTCATTCAAATGTGTTACTTCAATGATTTTCACATAGCCTATGATTCAGCATATTATTTTTCGAAAGCTCATTTGTCTACAACAAAATGGCTTGTAACCTAGTACAGAATATTTCCGACTTTCAATATCTCACGCACGACGGCATTCTATAGTTCAGATTTTTCCTGATACTAACCTAGTACATTAGTACTCGGTTGTTACCAGTCATCCATGTTTATTTCCATTATTCCATTAGTATTTTACCTTCAAATATGCATGCATTATTCACCACATATCCATATAGCATTTATTTTCATGTTAAAAAAATGACAGTTTACTTTGTAAACTAATTAAGGATAATTGTAATTGTAAGGATAGTTATTCAAGCAAATTTATGTAGTCAAAAATACTGTGTGTACTAGAATCTACCTAATCTCTAATTTAATATAGCACAAGAACGGCTCACATATAGCCTTTCAACTGAATTTAAGTTTAAATCTAATTAAAATCATAATTTCAATTAGACACAGAGACTTCTAACTAATCTTGAGTTTTTAAACCAGGGTATATATTGCCGCTTAATTGCTTTTGTATTCATTCGTGTCTGTATATTTTTCTAGCATTTTCCTGCTCACTTTATAACGCTCATCTTCAATTACCTACATAGCATTGACTCCCAGAGTCATTTCATTTAAAACTTCATACACTTGTTTTGCTTATAGCTCAGTTTTCAAATACATGGTAAGCATTATAGACGACATTGTTTTTTCTTACTGGTATGAAACTAGTGTGTAACTTTGAGTGCGTTGAAAATACCAATCCATTTTCTAAACGTTATTTAGAATACATATTATCGAGAAAAAAGTATAACTCGAGATGTTGGACATTCAGTTTCGTTATGATCGTACATATTATATGTGTGCAATAAGAAAGGTGAAGAATCGCATTTATCGCATACATGTCCTGTAAAAATTTCTCGTAAGTGGTTCTTTTCAAAGCTTTATATAATTTTCGAATATTTTTTCAAAACAATTACGAATTAAAGCGTCGAATACCCCGAATTTGATTGCGGTTATTATAAAATTCTGTAAACTTGAACTTTAAAAAAATATAGGCCACTTAGAAAAAAAAAAAGAGTAAACAGTTTAGAAAGATAAAAATCTCGAGATGGTTCAGTACCATATCAGCACTGTGGGGCTAAAAATGCTTCTATGGTGACTGTATATAAGCACATATGCCTTATAGATAGTGCATGGAGAAATAAGGGAAATGATCACACCTCTTGATAAAAAAGAGCAAGCTATTGTAGTGGTCCTAAGTTCTCTTGAAGGAAATCAAAGAGCTGAAAAGGCTGCATCTAAGTTGACAGCTGATCAACTTCATGGCGATGATGGTATGCAACCTTGTCAGAGGGCTTCAATAGGGTTTTCAAATCTGATAAAGTAAATGATGCTTATATTGCTTATACTGTTTTCAATGAACTTTTCAATATGGATATGAAAGACTATATTATAGAATTTGAACACCTGTATCATAAAATGTCTGATATGAAACTAGCAGATGCTGTATTAACATTCAAAATATTAGATAGTGTAGCTCTATTCCAATCAGAAACACAATTAGCTTTAAACGTGAAATTTGAAAGAATGAAATTGGCGTAAAGCGGGTTTTCACAAAATCTTCAGATAGAGATGTCATGGATGAACAAATTATAAAACCATTTGCGAGTGACATTGCATTCAGTCAACATTATTCACGGTTTCAACTTTGCGTTGGATTGTCTAAATCAAGTTAAACCAAATCTATTCAAATGAATTGTGCATGGTTATAACCATCATCCAGCGACTTGATCTCTGTCGTTTAATGTAAACATATCTAAAAATTATTCTTGACAACGTTCGCTAATTTCATCATACTGTATTTACACAACACAACGCAGTAGAAAATACAGACAACAATTGGAATTTTTATTATATTGCAAATATTACCTCTCAGAAGCAGATCTACCTGCAAAAAATACATTGGTTGCGGTAGTTGAACATAATCTATCATATATGACACTTTATTTGGTGATAACGTCAAAAGATTTGTGGCAACTTAATCATCCATCCCCAACGTACCCATTTCTGCAAATACAATTCTGCAAATACTCTTAATGATCTAAATTGAAATCAACGTTAATATTTTGTAGATCATCCACGGTATTAACCTGTGCAAATTTATCCATTTCTTCCATATTCGACATTACATTGACACTAGTAAGAAGACTCTGAAATTATGAAAATAGCGTTCTTGTCGCAATTGTTTTTAGGCAAGTCACTGCCGTTTCGTTGGATCGTTGGAGCTTTTTTGTCAGAAAGACTGAGTCTCTTGCTCTCAATTAGTTGACAATTAAACAACCAAGAGTAAAGTAACAGAAAAAATCAGGAATATGAAGAAGAGTGAGGAATTAAAATTCAACTGTCAGCAGATACTGCAAATGCTATTACCGGTACTGCAAATTTGGGTCCAGCGAATAAAAAGGCCGTATATCCTTGAATAACGCCACACAGAAATGTGATGAGAAATTATTATGATTTAAAAAAATCTGTCTGGCGCAAAATGATAAAAGAGTTCAATAAAACCAACCCCACTCCATTTTCAACTAAGCAGGTATAAATAGGGTATGTATATCGTTCCGAGCGAGACCTACTTTCATTTGAAAAAAAATCAAAATTTGGGCAGTAGTTTTGCATTACATTTTTGTTTGTCGTTTTCAAGCAGTTACAGCATTTATTTCCACATCACATTTTTGTTTGAAGTTATTTAAGAACTTACGGCCTGTAACTTCTTTAGACCTACAAATTCTACTTGAAGCACGTGCTTATATTTTTTCATGGTTAATCTAGGCCTGGACATAGTTACCTATCAGAATACTGAAGTGAATACCCATGGGTATTCAGTATTGTTGGCTGCTAACTTAGTACGGTTCTTACAAGTAACTTTATAAGTTCAGGTATTGTCAAAAACTTACCGGTAGCAGTACAGTTTACCCGACAATTTTCAGATATAACAGTGCAAAATCAACAGGTTACCGGAAAGAAACCAAGGCAGTAGCAAAGGCCAATAAAAAAAATCGGAAATCAGTGACTGAAATCATCTAGCGCCCATCAAAAGCCTAAACATAAAACTATTTTAAACTAATCTAGATTGAGTCTTACAACAATATAAAATAGTTTTAAGAGTAAATCCAGATTTGCTCCCGTTGTTCCCCGAGTTCCTAACGAAACTAAAAGAGCAATTCTCCTAATCCGCACTGCTAGCCGCTCGCCTTTTTGGCGGGAAATTACGTCACGATTAAATGGAGTCAAATGATTCGAATTTGGAATTCGAATCCGTCCGCCACAAGGCTTATAAAAGTAGAATTAATACAGCAACTTAAAGAATATGAAGCTCAATTGAAAAATGCGTAGACTTTTTTCGAGTCAGATAGATGATATTGACTTAATTTGAATCTTATCCAACACAGTGTGAAACTACTAAATTTACCAGCTGTCGACTCTGGATTTTAAATAGACACGTGCGTTTTAGTATAAATGATCTCAGTTTGAACGCGAGTGTATATGAGGCTAAAAAGTAAATTACCCTCCAGTTGATTTCATATTTGAAGCGGCCTCAAAGTTTTCCATCAAGCTTTATAAGCTTTATATCCTATGCTGTGAGACTTGCTGCGACGACATACAAGGCCGATAGTGTACATAGCCTTGTATAAACTTGCGTTTTGATTCAATGTCAAAAAAGTGACAGTTCTGACCTATGTGGTACACGGGACCAAATTCTTCAAATTTCCATGCTTTTGATTACCCTAAGTGGATTTATTTGAACATTGCATCGGGACATTTGTTTTCCATCGGAATCATTTTTTCACGTTTTGTTTCGTATATTTGACCGTTTATTGAACCATCATGAGATTTTTCTATGGATATACAATTTATGTAAATTTACATCGTATGGGTTTTCAAATTATAAAACGACACTGTAAAAATACGTATAAATAGTTTTTTTTCCAAAATACCACCAAACAAGCATATTTTCTACAAAGAGATGGCTGTAAAATCACAAGTAATAGTCTATATAAAACGACAGTTTCACAAGAATGCGAGATTGTCGCCTTAAATGTGTTGTAGATGCAGAAAAATTCATCTAAATTTTTAATATTCCCAAGAACCTACGCCCTGAATGTGCACAATAGGTCTATAGGTTGGTTCTTGATTGTAAAAAGCATTTGATGCTGAAATTTTTATCAACATCAACGATTATTTGTATTATGAATTCAAATAAATTTGTGACCGTCCTAGTAGGAACGTATGCAATTCTTACCGTTATCAAAGGCGACTGACTTGTTTGAATCTGTTTCATGGATAAAAATAAGGATATATTCATTCGAGAAAGGTATTCTTCGAAGCAACATTTTTGTTGAGTGAGAAAGTAATAATGTTGATCCAACACTTGCACCTCCACCGATTGAAAATTATGTTTTCAATGATCTTATATTTCGATCAACATTGGTTTAGGAATGTCGCCATCAACTGATGGCAAGCGTTGTTTTCGTGCAGTAATACCACTTCACCCTAATATCTTAACGTTGTCGTATGTAGAGATAAGTCGTTATTGCAATTGGACAGAGTCAATATACTTGTCGATTCTACATAGGGAAGTGTAGCGTCATAAAAATGTTCTGCGATTGTAAAATGTGAACAAAGCATGATTCAGTGAATGTTCAGCTGCTACAAAACGATCATTTTAAATCATTGTTCGAAACAAGACTGAATGCGCGGTTCGCTATTGATCGGGGTTTGTATCATTTTAACTATTTTCACAGTCACAACCTTTTGTTTGCTTTGTTTATTGATATTGCTATCAAGTCAGTCGATGCGGCGAGAGCTAGGCCCTCCAAAGAGAGTGGAAGGGAATTGTAGAAGTACTCTGCGTTGTAAAATATATCAGGGGAATGTGTTAGCTGTAACAAATCCATAAACGTCTGCTCTTAAAGTTGATAATGTAAGGATGTTGGTATGAAGTTAGCCAGAGTAAGTAAAGTTTGAAGCATTGTAAACAATTTTGTTCGAACTAGCTTGTCACGCTATGAGATAATTATATAAATAGAATGTAGTTCAAACCGATGCGTTATAGCTGCATTTTTAGCTGTTGTGTGCCCAACGACTAGCTCATACATGGCTTAACTAAATCGAGTGCAGAAATATATAAGTCAAAACGTAAACTAGAAGAGTTAGATTTGTGAATATCTCAACAGTTTTGTATCGATATAATTTTTGTAATCTTCAAGGAAATTGTAACTCAAGTACTTTGCCACCATGGATGACGAGCATGAAAACTTGAAGGTTAGAATATTATGAAATTCGAAAATTTTGAGCAGAGGATATGATATAAAAAAGATTATAATTTCCAAGAGGTTTCTCCGTGTTGTTGAAATTATCGTTAATATTAAATGCAAGTTGGCTTGAGGGAAAATAACCTCCTCCAACACGATATACGTTTGGAATTTGACAAAACAGAAGTTATACATTCCTCTAAAAAAGTAATGAGATCTTAAATATTAAACTCATATCATCTACAATGGCACTTTTTATGCTTGTTCTTGATCGTGGCCTGATTTTGCGATGAGCAAACTAGAAAGCAAGTGTCCATTACGTAATACCAGCTACAATTCATGTTTCAGACTTTTTCGTAACAAATTTGATGATATCAGAGTTACGTCAAAATTAATCGCTTGGTAAATAATAACTCACTTAAATATTAGTTCCAGAATAGTATATCGAAATACACTACAAAAGATGCAAGCTAATACCGCATATTTGTCATATATATATTCATTACCCGAGCAATCATAATATTTGGATTGTTTACAATTATCAATCAAGATTGCGTCTCCCCAACAATATCAAGATTTTTTTATGGCATTCAGCCGAATATACCGTAGTTCAACTTTGCCATATTTTCAATTTTTTCTTCCTTCATCTCGACTGCACAGGAACGTCTAAATGATCTCCGCATAACCTCCTCCACAAATATTAAAAAAACGCAGGAGACATTGAATTTTCTTAAGCAGGTATGTAATATTTTAGTAAGTATAGGTTATATAATATTCAATATTTGTCACACATTTTTACTTGAAAATTGGACTATTTTATACAATTTAAAAAGAAATGTGCTATACTAGAACTTATCTTAAGGTTTTCAACCCAAATGATTCGAATAAAAAAATATGCGACCTTATGGTTGATTGCAAATTTTTCTCAACCGTTTCAACAATATGGAAGACATCTGAACGTGATTCTTTTGATATTTACTGTGAACTGGAAACTCCGCGAGGAAAGGTGTTTCAGAGCGTAAGTGTTAAATAAATTATACATGAGGAATTCGGTTGAATGTTTTTAAATTACACATTTCAATTTTACCCATTTTTTATCTCAAGATTTTTTTTTTCATTCCGAAGACTATATCCTAATTTAATAAATACAAATTTGCTGCCGACTGTTGCATAAGTGCCTCACACGTCGAATTTGCCAATAAACATAGTTTCCAATTTTTTAAAATAGTCTTCAACCTTCAATGATTTGAAGAAATTTTCGCGATAGTTCATAAGCTTCTTCATATTTACATAAAAGGTGAAAGATGTGATGTGGAGCTACACCGACAAAAACAGGAAGTTTTGCAAAGCACTCCACGACAATAAAATTGTTCACATTCTACTAGAAGAATTAAAATTTATTGATAAATGTCCCGACTTCAAAGATGATTTCAAGCGACAGTACGTCAAGGTTTGAATCTATTTTCTCTATAAACTAGATAAAACGATACATTGTTTGTCCTGACACTATGTATTTTGCAATTGTTGGGTGCTGGATTGCTATGCTTAAAATCCAAAAAAATATAGAGTGGCACTCCATTGAAGTGGTGTTTGTAACGTAATGTGTCAATGCAAAAAAAAACCTATTCTGCCAACTAATATACACATAGCCTACAGCCAATCTCAGATTTAACTAATGTCATATTCATATCAGCCAACTCAACATACATAAACAGTCATTCAAGTGATGTACATACCAGCCTATTGATTTTATATAAATGTATGACCGTGTTTTCGATATCCGATATCACTATCATTTATAAATTGTGTGGTTGTGTTTTTTCACTTTCGTTTCGCTTTTCAAAACCGGTCATTAATTGAAGGATGACAAGTGAATTATCATTGCGTATATATTCTTAGCTGCGTATGTATATCACCTTACTAATTATATTTGAAGGGGTGGGTAAAGTGCCATACACATTGAGCATATTATATAGGGTTGCCATATTTTTTCGACTTCAAAGCGGGACAACTCCAAAGACACGACTCCTTAGATGTGATCATGTAACTTAACAGTTTCCGATTTTACTACATAAGCCTACATTTAAAGCCATCCCGGCTGTCTTCATTGACCATATTGTCATCGAGAGTTTATTCGTATATTCTGTTCAAATATCGGGTTCAGTTCGAAAAATACAAAGGAATAGAATAAAGAATAATGAAATAGCCTGCCGTTTTCAAGCATTGAGAATTTATTTATTCGCCCAAGCATGCTTTTCTGTAGATAACACCTTCAAAAAGACGTTGCCCAACGTTACATTCACGTGAACGTCCAAACAGCACCAATAAGAATTGATTTTACATGCTGTGATACGTTCGCTAACAATTTTCGCTTGAAGTCAGGCAATGATAAGCCAATTTATAATTTTTGCCCGAAGCTAGGCAATGTCATGCCAATTTAAATATTTTGTCCGAAGTTGAGCAATTCGATGGTTCTGGCAAATGAAATGAAATTGATTTCACTACCAGACATTTCATATGCTCGTATCAGAACTGAAATATTCTATATGTACCTCGATGAGCACTTCTGTACCTCGATGATGATGATGATCACCACGTCGCCTATAAATGAGATTGCGGAACCGCCACCGGTGCGCTATTTTTTATTTTGATGAGTCATCAAACACATAAAACGAATCCCATAAAGCACACAACAAAAAATTTTGAAGTAAATAAAAGTAATAGCCTTCTAGAGAAACCTTGAAGTTGAAGAGAAAAAATATTTTTTATAACAATGGGAAGAAAAATATTGATGACGTAATAGCACACAAAAAAACGAATTGCATAGAGCTAAAAGAAATATTTGAAATGAATAAAAGTAATAGCCCTATAACACTGTTTCCCAATCTTTTTTGGTCGCGGACTATTTTCACCCCAGGTAAAATCTTTGCGGGCTCAACGTGTGTTAACTGTAAAACCGAACTCTGTGTGAATGAGCAATAAAATCAAAAACAACAGAATTTTAACGAAGTACGTTTATAATCCATATTTACAAAATTCAATGGAAACCATAGCGAGGGTGCTCAATCATTGAGACATCAAGAACTGCTCGCTCTGACAAACTCGAAAGATATTATGAGATCACTGACGACGATTCGCTGAAGAAAATTAGAGGAAGGAATTTGAATTCAGAATGAATTTATTTGGAAATTTTAGTTGCAAATTCCTTCACAACTAAAATTTTCAAATAAATTCATTCTGATTTTTGTCCTTATCTTATCGATCATCTTCGTAAAATTTAAAAATTAACAATATCTTTATGGCTGGTTCCTGAATTCGCTGTCATTTTACTGTCTGTATTTTTCTATTGAGTCTATGTTTTTTTTGCCTCGAAACAAATCCTCCAAAATGTTGTTACTGCGTAGCCATTGAAAACTGATGGAACTCACTTAATGGTATTTCATATTCAAATTGATATATTCGCTAGAAAAATTTTGAAATGATACATTTTTGTTATTTGTATTGGTGAATCGAATTTTACCAAATGGCCCACTGAAAAGATGTAAAATTTATGCGATATTGTAGCACAATAAGATCATTTAAAAACGTAGCAATGGTGTTACAGGAAACAAATGGATAAAAAACACAAATATTACACTCAATCTTAACGGAAGCAAAGAGTACGTGTAAACTCGTGTTTTTGTCAGAAATCTGCGGGTTCGTTGTGCAATTTAATCTTTGGTTCAGCGCGATTGACCTGCTGTGTCCAAGTCACATGTTACCAGGTATTCCAATAGTTTGCTGTTCGAATATTTTGCCCAGACCTGCTCAGTAATCGGTAATTATTGACTGGATTAATTTTATGTGAATAAACTTGCCTTTTTTGTTATATCTAAATACTAACGTAAATCGTAACTTGGCTGGTACGTAAGTCTCGTAAAAACGTTTTCGTCCTGCGATGAATTTCGCGACACTGAAAAGGTTGGTGACCTACATTAAATATACTACTACATAAATTTCTAATTTGGTCGTTGCGGACTCATTCGAACGCTCTGCGGACTCATTTGAGACCGCGGACTCGGGTTGGGAAACACTGCCCTATAACAAACATACAATTTTAACCACTGAAAATATCAAAGCAATTGATCCAATAATTAAATAGTAAAGCGATTTTTTTTATAACCACAGGAGGAAAAATTCCAACATGAAGAACGAGAAAAACAACAACATAATACCAAAACGATCCATAGGTTTACTCCGTGTCCGAAAACATTGTTAAATTTACTTTATGTCTGATCTATGTCTTTATAAGGAAGTAATGCAGTGCTTGTAAAATCGATCGTGCTAGTGATTGGAATAAGTATTCATCGCAATTCCTAACCTAACTTAAACACAGGCCACCTTGGGGATACTACATAATCTTGTCCGGAATTACAACGATATCAGTGAAGCAATTCGAGGTGAAGATGGTATCGAAACCATAAAATCCTATGGCGAATCTGAATATCTTATAATAAAAACGTACGCTTTCATGATTTTGTCTTACTGTGTCAGAAGGGAGGATGTCGAACAACTATTTCCAGGTGACCCAAAAATTTTTTAAACTATTATTACCTTGGGTAATATTTAATTTTTATACTATATTCGTAGAATGTCAATCAGTGAGCGAAAATCAGCTTAAACTAATATAGATATAAATATACAATATATGAACTCACATAACAAAACCATTTGGTTAAATTTTAACATGTTTGTTTAAGAAAGAGATGCGTGTAGTTCAGCAAAACGCACTTGGTATTTATTAGTGTAGGGTATATGAAAGTAGTATGTTTTCCCATTTATAGTATATTTATTGTTAGAATAATATTTGCATGTCCCTTGAATTACTCGAAAAATTTGATAATATTGCCATTGACTTTGTCTATGTATCAAAGAATATCCGTAACGCTCATGAGTTGCATGCGCTTCGAGCAGAGTGAACAAATTTTAGGCTCCATCATCTCCGGCCTCCATCTCCGTCTCCAATTTTAGGCTCCATCCATCATGTCGTGGATTACAATTTCACCGTGCATTGATATGTTTACAGGCAAGGAGGTGTTCGAATTTGTTCTTAAGTTGCTAAAAGAATCTATAAGTGCTCAAAATCATGTTTGTCCAAAGTATGGAATTTCAGCGTATGAATTAGTCGATGCATTAAGTAAAGCAACAAAAGACGAAAAAAATGCGGTGAGTGAACCATACTTTACCTTTATCCCACGATTCAAAATAATAATGTTTTATTATGAGGCCAGCTATCACTAAACCACCAAAAAAAAACGTAGAGAATGGCAAATAAAAGTTCGATCGAGCATTTGTCTGCTGGAACCATACATTTAATTTAAAATTTATTGAACGATAAGCCGTCAATAAAAAGTATTTTTTATGTGTTTTTCACATTTTTCTAAATGTGAATAACTGAAAATATGTTAGGTATTTTATGAGCATTTATACGAGCATTTGAACTACTTTGTCTGGTGGAACCATAAATTTCATTCAAAATTTACTGAACGATAAGCCGTCAATAAATTTTTTTTTTTTATATGATTTCCACATTTTCCAAAATTTGAATAACTAAAAAACTAAAAATATGTCAGGTATGTTTATTACAGGACAACATTTTATTGCTCGGTATGGTACTTCACTAAAACAATGCCGAAATGGGTGCAACATTTTTGTACCTGCAAATATTGGGAGCTAATGGGCTCTGGTAAATATAGAGCATCGGCATTATTGACAGATTATAAACCTAGAATTCCAGTTTCTTTTCAATTGTATGCCTCTCTCGGGTGGGTAAGAACCCCATTGAAGGAGCTAGTCAGCATAATATTCCTATTAGTAATATAGATTTGGTGTTTTATATTTAATATTTGTGTCACTTCAGTAGACTTTAACCCTGTTACAGCAGCATGATAGTCAAATCCAGGGTTTTCTGCCTTTCATGACCCTGATAGTGGATGCTGCAGTTGTGTCACTCATTTTTGCTAATTTTAACCCTGTTATAGCAGTTCAATAATCACTTCAAGGTTTTCTGCATTTGCATGACCTCGATGGTTGATGCTGCAGTTGATTTAACCATGTTGTTTGCTAATTTGTATATTTTGTAATTTGTGATTAAAATATCTTTCTGGTTACTACTAGCCTGCTTTGTCAACGCCATTTATATATATACCTTATGAAACGCTCCAAAAAGCTGAATGTTATTAATTTGTCACTGAGATTTTGTCGTTCAAATTGTAAAACAAAAATTATGGGAATGTTAGGTAATTGTAGAAGGGACATCATAAATGAGAAATCGGTCATTACATTTTCACTATTTAGAGGAAGGAAACATTTTAAAATTTCTTTTTATCCGGCATCATATTCTGATATATGGCCATCCTAAATACTTTATTTTTATAGATGGAGATGATCAACGCCGACTATTTGCCTACTATTTTAAAGATGTTGGATCTAACCAGGTTCAGCGAAAAAGAAGTATTGGCGGCTGTGGAAATTATATGGGGTTTAACACTTCACACGAAGAGTAAAGCAGATCTGTTAAAGGTTTGAATTCATAATTTACATTGCTACCGCCGCGTCAATTCTGAGCTAGCGGCAGTGTTTTTTAAATTTATAACTTTTTTGCCATGTTTCTAGAATATAAACGGTGTATATGTATTATTGCCACGCAAAGCAGGGCGAGCATCTGCTAGTTTTTCCTATTCAATCATTTATAATTTGTTAAATTGGTAATAAGTTGATCGTCACACTAAATTTTTATTTGAAACTCCGGCAACACTGACAAGACATGGATATAACAATATTAGTTAATATGCACATGAATCATTAATAGTTCGTGTCTTTATACTGAAAACAATAATGACAATTATCTGTTTATACTCAGAGTGAAGAAGTACCTAGTGAGATTACGAAGTTATCTCAAACAAAAAATTTGCAAAAGTTGTGTTCAAGTGTTTTATACACATTGAGCTCACACGAAGAGCATAAGCAGCGTCATGTGATGCTGAGTTATCAATGGGATATACAAGAATCTGTTGAAAAGGTATGATTTTTATGTTGTGATATTTTCAACTAACAAAGATATTCATTAGTATGTGTAAAATGATGACGATACACAAAGTTGTACCGAACCCTACAAAGACTCATAAAATATTTTTTATAAAAATCGCATGAGAATATGATTTTACAATTTTAATCTGCCAATTATTTGTCCTCTGAATAGCATAATATTTAAAATATGTCAGCGTCTTAGAAATAACAATATTTTAAAAAGTAAATTTCATTTTACATGAAGTTTTTGCTAATTCAGTCGTTGGTAACAGCTGTAATGCAGACTCGAAATACTTTATACGTACTGAAAATAAACAATCAAACATTGTCCGCAAAACAAGGATGACCATAAAAATCCGGCCAACTTATCGAAATGGATTTATATTTCTGAAACAAAATGTCATCGATCAACCGCCTATTGAATTTCTATAGCGATTTTCGTTGCAGTTAACTCGCACTGTAAAACATAATATTGCAGAGGTGCGGGTTAATACATTGAATTTTAATGAAATATCCAATACAATCCGGATCCAATAAGATTAGGTTCTAGCAGCATCAGCCATTATAGTGTTGGAAATTTGAACTACAAATTAGATATACCACATACATGAAACTTTCATTTTAATTTTGAACTCAGACTTCGTTTTATGTAATTTATTAACTTTATGGATCAATATGTCACACTATATTTGCAGTTGTATGAATATCTAGTAAAGGAAGGATTTAAGGTTTGGATGGACATTCACAGAATGAAAGGCTCAACATTGGAATCAATGGCAGAAGCTGTTGAAAACGCATCAATTATAGTCATGTGTGTTACTGAAAAATACAAAGAGAGTCATAATTGCAAGAGAGGTTGGTAGGGAAGAAAAAAAGTGGAAACGACAGCATGATAAATATCCTCGAATCACACACACTGACGAATAAACTCACATGAATGAGTTGGTTCCCAATTTAAATATATGTGTGTGATATGACCCTTAACATGGAAAGAAATATTACCACAAAGTAGAAAGAAATAATTATATTTATATCCTAAAATGTCAGTATGCTTGAAAAACAAAATTGGGAATTAATAATTTCTTGACTTTAGCATTTACCAACACCACTTTACTTACGATTGGCAATATAATTTCAATTTTCATTCATTACTTTACAGAAGCAGAATACGCCGCTGTGAGAAAAGTACCTATACTTCCCCTGAAGTTCGATGCAGGTTATGATCCGAAAGGATGGCTAGGAATAATTATGGGAGCCGCATTGTACGTAGAAGTTGATAAAAATGAACCATCAAAAAAATTTCAGAATATTAAAACTCAGATCGAACAACTCCAAAAAAACTAATTTATTTTGTTATGTAGATTATTATGTAATATTTTTCAGTTCTAAATACATTTATTTAATGCATTAATCAGAATAATTGTTCAAACGATTATGGTTTACATTACGTGAGCAATCATTTAGTTATCAACATGTTGACAAAATGAAACTTTTATCTGTTTCACGTGATACTTGTATTCCTTTAGCATAGTATATATATGTGATCAAATAATCACGTTTGTAATGTTTTAATTTATCAGGTCACATCATATTATGTTCTGTACCTATTTTAATGTTGACGATTATGTAACAGTTTTTGCAATATCGTTGCTGTTATTCATACTATTTTGATTCACAAATTTATTGAAGATAATGATAAGCTTTCATCGCGATATAATTTACTTCGAACATTTTTCTTTGCACTTAAGATAGTAGAATTATAGTATACTAACATTGTTAGAACAAATATATGACTTTACGTTTTGTGTAACGTTTCGTCTGACCAAAATCAAACAAGAAAAAGAAACACAATAAGTTTTTCCAATAATATTGAACTATTTCGAACTTTTCCGACATAGCGGCTAAATCGAGCGCTAATATAAAAAACTTATTCAACAAAAAGTTGTGGCGGCACAATGTGGTATTCGAAATACGGTAAATTTTACAAAAATTGATTAATTATAGAAGAATATTTGATTATTTCGATCTAATTTCAACTTGGGGTTAAAATTGGAATGTACCAGTAATTTTTTAAACTATGTCATTATGTGAACTATGTCACGTTTTGGGTTACCGAATGACAGAAGATATAATTCGATATGAATTTGATATATATTTCAGCAAATCTATTTGTACCTGTCTGTTTCTACTCTGGCACCATCGGAAAAAATAATACTACGCAACGTTTTGTGATTTTTTAAATCCTAGAAATCGGAAGTCTAATTTCGTGCAAGGTTATAGAAAATGAAAAGATTCATCTTAAAAATCCTGGGTTTTCCATGACAACTCAAGATGTTTCAAAGTCATAAGCAGAAAGCATCTAAGGGCACTATCATATAAGCACAAACACCCAAGCGAGCGACATCCGTGGAGATGACGGGTTCACTAAAACGTGCAACTAACTACGCACATTATACAAACAGCAAGGCTAATTTATTAGTTGTTGAACGTGTAAGTTTAAATATCTGAGATGAACTGCAGTTAAATTTGCAAAATTTGAGGACGATGTAATAGAAAAAAGCCATGATATAAAACTGTTTTAATTTAAAGGACCCTCGTCAAAACCTTGGAACAGCTCCAACGAACACCAAAAACTCGATTGAATCCTGGTTAAAACTTCTGTTCTGGATTATTGAAAAACTAACAAAACGCTATGGCGAGGGAAGAAATCCATAAAATATGAATATAATAAATACTATAAAATGAGGCCCGATCAATTGTATGAATGCAACCGCAAATGCCCCATTGCCAGTATTATAACCCCATTGCTGGCGTCTGGCACATACATACTTCGATACTTGCCATCGATAGCAGAAAGCCCAAAAAGAAACATAACCCGCGTCTTTTCGGAAATTGAGTATACGAAATTAACAAAGCAGCAAAATTTATAGCATACCGACGAAAAACTGAACACTTGCCCGTGAACTAGCGTGCAGAAACCATTGAATTAACATGACTTTACGAAAGCATATCAATAAAATTGGGAGAAATATTTTGGACATCTTGTGAGGATAATGCTCTTTACTCTTTCGACTATATAGGCTTCTATCTCACTCTGTGATGCACCAGACTACTAACAATGTCGATTCTGTTTGATGCAATGGCTCTTTCAAACAGTGTTTTAGAAAACTGAAAATAAATATATAGTTTCATTATCAGGTATTGGTTTTATAAATCACAAAATATGCTGTTTGGCAGAGGTGAAGCAAAAGTAAGCTTATATTAAAAATACATAAAATAAAAACCAATTAAAGTCATGATCATGTGTATACCGATCTACCTTTGGGTGAAACTCAATTTCGTTGACCTAAGACACTATCAAGTTATTTAAATCACAAAAAATGTTATTTGACAGAACTAGGGGGAAGAGAAATATTTGTTCGAACTATGTCATTATCAATCTTTGGAATTGTAGCTGACAGGAACACAGAAAAGCTAAGCTTATACTCGAAGTTTAAAAAAATAAATTAATAATTTTTCGTTTATTCTAAAATTATTTGCTGATTACCACGAAAATTACAATTTGTACTTAATTTGAATGATCTGTCAGTGCATTATATTGTATTTCATCATATAAATATTGACCAGTCAATTATTACTTATCGATCTTAAGATCGGTAAGTATATTGATAGGTATTTGTATGTCTGTGTGTGTGTGTGTGTGTGTCTGTTAGATGAACGCGATATCTCACGAACGCGTGGTTGAATCTGCTCCAAATTTTGCATGTGCATGCACCTTACCTCGGACCAGACGCCTATCGATTTTGGGTTAATTATGTCGTATAATTAGCGAGTTATTAACTAATTACCGATCTAAGATCGATAAGTCTTCGGTCTCCGACCGATATTCTCGTTTACTAGTTCGGTGGTTTTCAAACGGTGGGGCGCGCCTCACAAGGGAACGTAAACATTTTAAGGGGACGTGAAGCTGATTGATGAAACTTTAAAAAAGCCTAAAATCTTGTCCGTCTTATTTTTCTAATTTCATTATTTACGTTCCATCCACGTATTTACAACGTGCTTCTTGACAAAAACTTACGAAATTATATCAATAAAATTGGGATAAATATTTTGGACATCTTGTGAGGATAATTCAAATATGTGCAGCTCTTCTTGGCTAGCGGGATTTAACTTGATATATCAGTTTATACCTGACAAAATATGAATTGAAAGATTTATAAGATTACATACTTGTTATTTACTCTTTCGACTATATAGGCTTCTATCTCACTCTGTGAAGCACCAGACTATTAACAATGTCGATTCTGTTTGATGCAATGACTCTTTCAAGCAGTGTTTTAGAAAACTGAATATAAATATATAGTTTCATTATCAAGTATTGGATTTATAAATCACAAAAAATGCTGTTTGGCAGAGGTGAAGCAAAAGTAAGCTTATATTAAGAATACATAAAAAAAAAATCAATTATATGTCAAGATCATGTGTATACCGAGTCCATCTAACTTTAGGTGAAACTAAATTTCGTTGACCTAAGACACTATCAAGTTATTTAAATCAGGGCTTCTGAAACTTTTGAGCGTGCGGCCCCTTTCAATATATTAAAATTTTTCGCGGCCCTTGTTCACGTTCATAATGCTAAGCAGTAATAGGCATTTTTAATATTTTATTGACACAGCTAATTCTCAACTTTCAGTAGGCCCACTCAATAACAAAAACAAGCACATATTCACTCAGATTAACATTACTCAATTATTCAGTGTAATGGGTGCGAATGCTTTTTGCTGCTTAGCAAGTCCAGCCGTGGCTCAATGTTTGTTTATGCAGTCCTAAATGATGAATTACGATGTCTGGCCACAGGCCACCGACGGCATGGTTCTTATCCAAAATTGTTACGCACGCCTATTGATCAAATTTAGCATAAGGCACCGGTTTGTGCGACGCCAAACTATCAGAAAAAAAAATTCGCGGCGCACCTACACGAAAAATACGCTGCCTCCAAATAAAACACACTTTTGTCATCGTCAATGTGTACTTCATACCTTTCGAGGTTTATAAACATGTAGACCTAATGAATAAAGACGAAAGGTTAACTTTTATTTCTTATCCCTGCATGGTTTTCTTCAAAATGCTAAAAAATCACTTATGTTGGATAATCTCGGTTCAGCAAATGAATAAACTGCAGCCTGCGAAATTGCAGCTCTTCTGCTACGCAACAATAGACCTACGTAACAGAAAGTGAACAACATAGAATAGTAAAATGAATTTGAATCATAAACACATCATTTGCAATATTAAGAAAAAATAATACATTCAGAATAAATAAAATATGTGAAATATGCAATCATATATTAGTTAATATTTAACACAAATATCCTAATTTTCGAGGCGCACTTAGCAAATCGGCACTTAGCAAATCTTACGAATAGAATATTCATTGTTAGGCAAGCGCGATGATTCAACCGTGTTTCCCCGAAAATTAGACCAAGCCTGAATTTTAAAAATGAGTAAAATATAAGCGCCCCCTTGAAAAAAGACTTAGGCGATAGCGCAATTTTTTTTTGAACCTAGTCGTGGTATAGCGCGTCGTTTGAATTTCGCTAGGGTGTCGCAAAATTTTGTGATTCGTGAACCTTTCAAACATCCCATATCTTCTACTTTTACTGAAAAATATAAAAATATATAATAAAGTTTGAAGTTAATAAAGTTTTAATAAAGGTTATAAAGCTTAATTCTGAAAATTCGGGTTTCTGTAAACAAAGATTATTTTTCCTTGGTTTAATAACCGTTACGCACACCCATCCCTTTCGCGATTTCGTATTTATATAAAGCAGGCTTTTCTACAAGGGCCCATTAAATGTGATTTCACTGAATGTCGGTGAGTTTCGTTTGTTTGTTTGTATTAACTTGTGGTATCATGGTATCATGATGTATGTATTCACTCGTAATCGTGAAATTTTTGTTTTACACTATTTTTAATAATTGTATTTCAATACAAGAGTCTGAATTGTGTAAATTTGGTGTTCTTTTTGCGGCACCTAAAATTCGTTTCGCGGCCCCTAGTTTGGGAAGCCCTGATTTAAATCACAAAAAATGTTATTTATCAGAAATACAGAGAAGAGATATAGTTGTTCGAATTATGTCATTATCAATTTTTGGAATTGTAATTGACAGGAACACAGGGAAGCTAAGCTTATACACATATCAACATGAAGCGTATGGTTATTGGTTACTGGGACTACCAAGGGAAGTATAAGTCGGGCGTAAGGTATTTACGTCTACATTAGTGCAACTGGCCTAATTTATATATTATCCCTTATTATTGAAAATCTGAGTTTCAGCACCGGAGGTAGTAAGATCCACGGTTATAGTAATGTACTTGATTAGACTCACACCAATATTATCAGTATTGAAAATTTATTGCGATTCTGGATAGGAACATGAATGGCATGGTTATTTACTGTTTACTACCAAGTGGTATAAACCAGTAATTTAACGAGCCTACAATTTAAATATATTTAGACGAATGATAACACGCAAAAATGTTATGAGTCCACTGTGCAGGGGTTCAATACCGCAGAAAATATGTAAATGCTCCTTTACAATGCTTCTTGAAATACATCGAAATGAGGAAATAAAATTCATAGGTTATATTCGAGAGATGCATCAAGGATTGATTTTTATAACGATGCATCTTTTTAATGAAAATCTCTCATAATTTGACAAACAATGCGAAAAAGGCAGTAGGCAAAAACCTGGGTTCCTTCATTTACGACCTGTTTTATAGTGAAAAAAGGGGTTTGTAACAAAACAAGTGCTGTCAAAACAAAGAAATCGAATTCGATCAGTAAACAGGGTGATTTGAGATTGTGGCTGACGAAAATGTCACCAAAAATTTAAAAAAAATCTTTGGAAGACCACTAAGCTAATATATCTCATTAAAAACACTATAAACTATGATTTATCTTGTTTATTTGTTCTGTATTATATTCGTTTCTGACCTCAAATGTTTTCGTAAACAGGGAGGCGATGAAGTTGTATATTTTACTGTATATATTACTGCGACTAAAAGTTTGGGAACCACTGGTATAGACCATGATAATTTACAGTTACATTTCTGAGCTTAGTCGGATTGTTTTTTATAGTATGATACTATTTTGTGGTAAAAAAAGATTAAACAAGTAAATTCTACACAGAATAGTAAGGACCATTTTTCCAATAACGTAATACCTATATAAATAAAACATAAGAAATATAGACATGCTTGTATCCGTAAAACCCGTGTATTTATTCTATTTTATCATTTAAATAGATGTATAAACATAATAACCCAACATATTAGTACCAGCAATCAACGATATAGCGATAGGAAATACATTTCTAAATGCAGACAATTATGAACATGAACGGACTATTTACCAATAGGATTTACGGCTATATTGATACGTTACAACAGTCATTGTCAAAGTGGGCGTCGTTTCAATTTTGCTCGGGCGTCGCGAATTTTTTTTTTTCTTTTTTTTGCGGAATCTCTTTTGGGCGCATAGAAAAAGTAATATTACAAGCGTGGAAACGATTCTATACAAGAAGTCTAAAAACACAAGTATGACGTAGGCTACATTGACTTTGGATCGATCAAGTAAAAAACTCCGTGATTTTTGTTGCAACTGAGGATGAGATGTAACTAAATGCTGTTTGGGCTTATTAGCTACCATGTTTCCCCGAAAATAAGACTGGGTCTTATTTCAATTTTTTTCCAAAAATTACAGCTAGGGCCTATGTTTAGGGGTTGTCTTATATTTTTATTTATCAAATACAAAATTTCAAAGTAGAGAAATATGAGATATGAAATACGATTGAATGAGATTGAAAACTCAATTAAATTTAAATAGAAAGATATTTTAAATTCTTGTCGTTGTCATGGACTGAATATTGTGCGACAGAAACGGCCATTATACTATATACTACATATATAATATACTACATATATAATGCAATGCATTATTGTGTCTCGACTTTTGGGTGGGAAAGTAAAAAGCCTAATTTCATTTCTAGAAAATGACCCCCGCCTTTTTCACTGGGCCGACTCAATAGCCAGAATGAAACGGTAGTTGTTCGAATCATGTTATTATGAAATTTTGTGGTTGTAATTTATAGAAAAAATGGTATCATGATGTATGTATTCACTCGTAATCGTGAAATTTTTGTTTTACACTATTTTTAATAATTGTATTTCAATACAAGAGTCTGAATTGTGTAAATTTGGTGTTCTTTTTGCGGCACCTAAAATTCGTTTCGCGGCCCCTAGTTTGGGAAACCCTGATTTAAATCACAAAAAATGTTATTTATCAGAAATACAGAGAAGAGATATAGTTGTTCGAATTATGTCATTATCAATTTTTGGAATTGTAATTGACAGGAACACAGGGAAGCTAAGCTTATACACATATCAACATGAAGCGTATGGTTATTGGTTACTGGGACTACCAAGGGAAGTATAAGTCGGGCGTAAGGTATTTACGTCTACATTAGTGCAACTGGCCTAATTTATATATTATCCCTTATTATTGAAAATCTGAGTTTCAGCACCGAAGGTAGTAAGATCCACGGTTATAGTAATGTACTTGATCAGACTCACACCAATATTATCAGTATTGAAAATTTATTGCGATTCTGGATAGGAACATGAATGGCATGGTTATTTACTGTTTACTACCAAGTGGTATAAACCAGTAATTTAACGAGCCTACAATTTAAATATATTTAGACGAATGATAACACGCAAAAATGTTATGAGTCCACTGTGCAGGGGTTCAATACCGCAGAAAATATGTAAATGCTCCTTTACAATGCTTCTTGAAATACATCGAAATGAGGAAATAAAATTCATAGGTTATATTCGAGAGATGCATCAAGGATTGATTTTTATAACGATGCATCTTTTTAATGAAAATCTCTCATAATTTGACAAACAATGCGAAAAAGGCAGTAGGCAAAAACCTGGGTTCCTTCATTTACGACCTGTTTTATAGTGAAAAAAGGGGTTTGTAACAAAACAAGTGCTGTCAAAACAAAGAAATCGCCATTCGATCAGTAAACAGGGTGATTTGAGATTGTGGCTGACGAAAATGTCACCAAAAATTTAAAAAAAATCTTTGGAAGACCACTAAGCTAATATATCTCATTAAAAACACTATAAACTATGATTTATCTTGTTTATTTGTTCTGTATTATATTCGTTTCTGACCTCAAATGTTTTCGTAAACAGGGAGGCGATGAAGTTGTATATTTTACTGTATATATTACTGCGACTAAAAGTTTGGGAACCACTGGTATAGACCATGATAATTTACAGTTACATTTCTGAGCTTAGTCGGATTGTTTTTTATAGTATGATACTATTTTGTGGTAAAAAAAGATTAAACAAGTAAATTCTACACAGAATAGTAAGGACCATTTTTCCAATAACGTAATACCTATATAAATAAAACATAAGAAATATAGACATGCTTGTATCCGTAAAACCCGTGTATTTATTCTATTTTATCATTTAAATAGATGTATAAACATAATAACCCAACATATTAGTACCAGCAATCAACGATATAGCGATAGGAAATACATTTCTAAATGCAGACAATTATGAACATGAACGGACTATTTACCAATAGGATTTACGGCTATATTGATACGTTACAACAGTCATTGTCAAAGTGGGCGTCGTTTCAATTTTGCTCGGGCGTCGCGAATTTTTTTTTTTCTTTTTTTTGCGGAATCTCTTTTGGGCGCATAGAAAAAGTAATATTACAAGCGTGGAAACGATTCTATACAAGAAGTCTAAAAACACAAGTATGACGTAGGCTACATTGACTTTGGATCGATCAAGTAAAAAACTCCGTGATTTTTGTTGCAACTGAGGATGAGATGTAACTAAATGCTGTTTGGGCTTATTAGCTACCATGTTTCCCCGAAAATAAGACTGGGTCTTATTTCAATTTTTTCCAAAAATTACAGCTAGGGCCTATGTTTAGGGGTTGTCTTATATTTTTATTTATCAAATACAAAATTTCAAAGTAGAGAAATATGAGATATGAAATACGATTGAATGAGATTGAAAACTCAATTAAATTTAAATAGAAAGATATTTTAAATTCTTGTCGTTGTCATGGACTGAATATTGTGCGACAGAAACGGCCATTATACTATATACTACATATATAATATACTACATATATAATGCAATGCATTATTGTGTCTCGACTTTTGGGTGGGAAAGTAAAAAGCCTAATTTCATTTCTAGAAAATGACCCCCGCCTTTTTCACTGGGCCGACTCAATAGCCAGAATAAAACGGTAGTTGTTCGAATCATGTTATTATGAAATTTTGTGGTTGTAATTTATAGAAAATTTTATTTGACAGACGAAACAAAACTAAGCTTATACTCAATTTATTAAAAGTAATAATTTGTCTGTAGATTTCCCGAAAAAAATACAATATATCATTTTTTTTTATAAACAAGTAAATTGAAAGATTTCAAATGATTTGGTTACATACCTAATCTTCAGACTTGATAGGCCTCCATCTCACTCAATGATGAAAACCTGGCACTTGATGAATTTCTTTTGGTGCAATGATAAATTGTCCTGTTTTAAAGCGCTGAAAATCAATATATATGTCGTGATTTTGTGTAAGCCAATTCTAAATTTGAATTTCGACATTTAATTTCATAAAATCCAAAAATTTAAAAATTTAGACGAATAAAATTTCTTCAGCGATTGCCATTAAATTTCAAATATATACTTTATTTATAACATATCAGATGTAGTTTTCAAACTGCACAAATTGCAAATATTAAAATAACAATAAAATATCCAATGTAGTTTTATAACTGTTTCATGGTGTATATGACTAATTACCTGTGATGAGTAACTTTATGATGAGTTGCATTATCACATTGTTCACAGTTGGGATCGCTATCAAGCAGGGAAGCGCGCAACGAATTTTAGGGGTCGCAAAGAGAACACCGATTTGATACAAGGTAATATATTTATAGTACTTTTTTGTACTTCTGCTTCGAAATACAATTATCAAAACTTGTGCAAAATGTAAATCTTACAATTTCGAGAGAAAACACAAGATCAAATAGGGGAATAACAATGCTGACTCTGATCGCAGGACGCGAAACGCGGTGCGCTCGCATCGAATTGTTTAGCATTTTAAACAAAAACAGTGGAATACAGGAATCAATAGGCGTCGTAAGTCAAATAAAATGTTCAAATATTATTCACTTGTCGTTCGTTACTTTGTGTCTTTGAGTCTTCAACCTTTAATATTTCTGCACCTAAAAATAAATTTAGAAATGGGTTAGGAATGATTTAAAAATTTGAATTCCCAGCGCAATCTGCATTTCTAACTTAAACTGGATAATTACTAATTCTCTTATTTGGAACGTTGGTAGGTCTTTGTACAAAGATCCAATCTATACACAATAATATATCAAAGTAAAAAGGCTACGGCGAATCTTTATTAAACCATGGATTTTGCGCTGCATTTGCGAAAGTTTTGAAAGTTATGCATTACATTCATGCAAAGAGTACCATGTTGAATGCAGCTTACGTAGTTACGCAGATAAGTGTATTACGTTTTTTTTTTATTATGATAAGTTTATGTATTGCCATATAGCTTTTAAGTTTGGCCTATTTGTGAGGAAACGATGGAACCCGCTGTTAGTGAGTTCGATACAAAAGAGAATCATCCATCAATCTAGACTTCTGTTTTTGGCTAATAATTCCAATTCGTATAGGCCCGAAAACCTCTAATTTACCACTTATACAATAGTAAAATGAAAGCAATATAATAGGAATGAAAACAATAGGTATAAAGAACATTTAGCTCACCTGAATATTGTTTCGAGCTCATTGGCATACTCCACAGTCAGCCTATCCATACATCCTACACAAAATCAAACCTCATCTTACCACGAACATTTGTGACTGACTAAAAGCGATGTCGCTTGTGGCTTCCCGCGCAAAAATATTTGACGAAAAAAGCTAACTGATTGTTAGTAATCAATTGTTTTTAACTGATTACTTTAATTACTCCAGGTTGTCGTTACGAGCCATCACGCTTCTGACGCATGATCTCAAAGATGCAGAATGCAAATGACGGTTGGGATTTGCTTCATGCATCGTATAATACCTAGTTCACAGTAATATTCTCAGGATCTTTTGTACCAAACACCGCCCAAAACAACACCCCGCCAACGCTCGTATTAAATAGAAATAGTAAATATTCAGATAAGGTGAGGGATTCAGATTCAGCCGAAAATTCAAATTTTCAAATCGTTCCTAAAAAATCGTTCCCAAAACCCCAACTGCATATTTACTTATTTTTTATTTTAAAACGTGACAGGGGTGTTTATCTCAGATCACACATTTTTGCATCAGTGACGGGAGCTTAGTACAAAGAATATAGCAATTCCATTATATTTGTCTGTTTATATTTGTAGAGTGAACGCGCACGTGAATGCCATCAAAAAAGTAACCCTCCCACAACTCAAGGAAAGAATAACGGCGTGTATAAGTTTAGCGTTATATCAATGCATTCTCTGCATTGGCGTACAAATCTTAGCTCATTAATTTGCGCAGCCAAGAATAATTTTAAGTTTTCGTACAAAAACGTGCCGGCGATGTCGTTTAAAAAGGGAGGTCATAATGTGAAGTTGTTTTGATGCCTACTGTATAGTAATTTCTTCGCCCAAACCTAACGGCGGAGACATAACATCAGCAACAGCATTAATCACGGTTCTATGTGAAGTAAATAATTGACTGCTCAATACAAGAGCATACCGACGACAACAACTGATGATATATAGATCAACTATTCGAGACCATTCATATATTTGGTGTTATGGAGTTCGTGAAGAGGTGGACTGTTATTGACGTAACCCCACAATAAGAACGTAATAAAAACAAATTGTTACTTACCGATCAATATTAATGAGTGAGTTGAAATTACTATATTTAATAACTCGGATGTATTTGCTGCCTTTTAAATGTTGTTCATGCCATTTTGAGTAAACGAATAGATCGCGGAGACTCTATGTCCATATGAAGCACTTTATTAACCATAGAATATCCCAAGAAACGTAAAGTTGACAGAAAGTGTCGAGCATTTAACAACGATTGGATACCGAAGTATTTTTTGTAATAATCCGTCGCACCGAGGACTACATTTTCTAACATCTGGCCCGCCGACTAGATAAGTTGCCCACCCTGATCCAGGGTAAAAGTATCCACGTATTTTAATGTATTTAGTATCTATGTCAGCCAGTGCACGGCAGCTGACTTCGTTCGCGTTGAGTGGCGCATCGTGCTTAGCCTTAAGAATACGCTTGATCTCTTACCCCGCTTGGATTCGCAGGTTCGAATACCGTAGGCGATAATTTAGTATCAGAGGATTGCCGGCGGCTTCCTCCCGCCACCCCTACCCTAAACCAGGGTTTCCCAAACTTTTTTCGCCACGGAACATTTGCAATTTTTATGTCGCCTCGCGGAACACCAAAAATGATGTAATGCAGCGAGTTGCCAAATGCGCCGCGAAAACTAACAGAATTGTGTTAAACATACCTAAAATATGATTGGATATATATTTTTTTTTATATAAATGCTGGGTATATGAATCAATAAATTCATTTTACCTTTCTATGTCGATTACTTTTAATTGCGTAGTGGATGCCTTTAATGTTACGTACAATGAAGTACTTTATTTTTATTCATCTGCTCTATTTATTATTATTTATCTGCAGAATCGAGTTTAGCAAACATGAGTAATTTTTTCCACATTTTAAAGTAAAACCAGGCAGGGGTGGAGGAAGAAAAATTGACCTTTTGCCATTATCCTTTGGAATAACGTGGTTGCCTACAGCAAAAGCTGTAAACTTGATATTGAACTTGACAATCAAAAACCTAGGCCGACGGTTAACGAAAATGCCACCACCCGTAAAAAGTTAGTCAGCTTTAGACCGACGGTGACGCGATATTCAACGGTCGTTAGTTGGGCGACAACTTTACAATGGCGTGATTGACATGGCGACCAATTTAGCCCTATGCGAACGCCCTATGCAAAAGATGTTTTTTTTTGTAGGCGTTCCCACTACCGGTGGAAAAATCTCATGATTATCATTTTTGCAGCCATAGATTAAACATTTACATAAAGTCATCAGCTTCACAAAACTAGGGCTCAACGTCTCGACTTCATACCTGTGGCCACGAGTAGGGCTAGCCTAGCTACTACTGGTTGGAAAAATTGCCCAAACTTGGCTCAGTTGGATGATGCGTGTCAACCATAACATTGACTGTTGGATTTTGTTAATTCATGCACAATTTCATTGATCGTTTGAAAGCTCTCTCCCAACTTACCAAGCTAAGGAAAAACACAAGAGAAGCGATTCCGGCCCATTCTAAGTTGGAGCAGTAAGGATGCTTATTTTGTGTCTTTATGGTTTTAGTTTAGGTTAGGATCTGCATATAAGCGCGACTTAGTCAACAACATCTTGAAAATATAGTAAGTTAGTCTCGCGCAACCCAACTCGTAATCCTATTGGATTTGACACTATTGTAAAACTTTCGACACTTGGATAAAAATCATTTTGTGTCTCCAGTATTAGATTTTCTATATGTTGCCTACCATACAAACAACTAATCAATTGCACTGGATTCCTAGGGCCTCTTGAATGTTCCATTGGGGTTATGCTTCACCAATAAAAGAAATTCAAAATCACTGGATTGCATCAATAATTGATTCCATGTTTGATAACTAGACAAACTGGACAGCATAACCGATTTACTAATCTTATAACTGACACGGACTGGTAACCTGGCAAGAGGGCGTGGTACTCAGGTTTGGTTTCGGCTTTCATCACTCCGCGGGATGAATATGCAAATTCTATCCCTTCTTTACAAACTTTTGTTGAAAGATTTTACACTCTTGGTCGGATGTACTCCATGTGCATCATATCGAACGCAGCATGTTAATTACCGAATTATCCTCGACGAAAAGCTGCTAATTAAGTGATATTTTGACGGTGGGGTCCCCGTCAGTAGCCGTAGCGCAGGGGTAGCGACTAGGTGACGTTGAGCGTAAGTCTATGGCTTCGAATCCAGGTAGGTGTTAGTGTGATAGGGATAGGGTTAGTGGCCGAAAGCAGACAGAATGGCCATGACATAGGAAGAAAGTCAGCATTCAAGTAGTGTTGTGGACCAGAGACAGGGTCAGTGGCAGAACGCAGGCGTAGTGGCCGAAACACACCAAGGAAGTTGTAAACCATGTAGAGCAGGCCAGGATCAGACATAGTGGCCAAATCACAGGAAGGTAATCAGGAACAAGGTGCAGGGGCGGAATATGCCTCTTTGGTGCCCTAAGCGCTGAAGACTTTAGTGCCCCCTTATGTGTAATTTAATTATAAAAAACAATAAACCACATAAGTTATTATCCAATAAAAATAATCACAACCAACAGTAAATAAAAAGACTTTTACGAAAATTTTTAGGTTTTTGTAACTGTTATAAAATATCAGCCGCTTACTGCCGATATGATATATCGGCAAACACCCCATAACTGGCCGATATATCGGTTGAGCTCTAATCCTGATAGAGTGTGACAATAAAAATTCCTGCCTCCAGTCTCAACGTGAATCGAAATACCAAACGATATAAATCACAATTGTAGTTTAAAATTTTACCGGTACCTAGTAATTTAACTTTGTCTGGTTCAAGGTTGCTAGGTTGAAGGACCGCAACAACTTTTGAGAAGGTCTCGTGGGCCGCAAGTCGAAGAAAACCAAAAAGTGATCGAAATATCGCGAGTTAACTTACTTTACATTTAACTTTAAATTTAACGAGAGTTTACCGTTCTGATCATAGTAATATCATGTTGCATTGGTAGCGTTCTTTTAAAAAAGATATATAAAGCCTTCAGTTATTTCAAAATTAATTCCCGGGAATTACCGTTGTATTTTCCGCACATCGCGTTTAATGTCGCTTCAAACTATATTTATTCGTGACATATATTGCCTGAAATTATACCAGACACTGAGTGAGGGCAATAATTTCCGCCGTGTTTTCCGCATTTAAATACGAATTGTTATATTTGGGTAATTTAAAAACTGGCAGCGTGAGCAAGCTTAGTGCCATCGTCAAATAACAACCAAGTCCGTCGAAGTTTTGGTATTTCGGGACCTAGCTGAAAAAACTGGATTGCGCGGCGTTAAATCGGCTCTGCGTTTCGTCACTACTGACACATGGCCCACGCTTGAAAACAGAGGAGTATTTTCACTAAAATAAAGGCACAAAGCGTTAGAAAAAAAGGTTTGAATCTCGGGATTCTAACCCCAGTTGCAATAGCTAAAAAAACTCAAAAGCGTTCTGCTATTAGATACAGATATCTGCTAAAATTGTTCTGTGGGCAGCACGAAATGTGTTAGCATGACATGGTTTGGAGTTTGGACCACCCCGGTCTACCTTAACAAAAAACTCCCGACTTCTCTGACTACTAGATCGTTGAAATGCGGTCGTAGAACCGCCACATAGTGCAAATAGTTCATTGGTCCAATTGTTGTAGAAAAAATAAAAAAAAATTTTAAAACAAGATCGTTGAAATGCGGTCGTTGAACCGCCACATAGCGCAAATAGTTCATTGGTCCAATTGTTGCAGGAAAAGAAAAATAAATTTTTAAAACAAAATTGCAGCTACAAGAAGAATATGAGGAAGAAAAAACAACAATTTAGGAAAACGACTCATAGGCCGTTTCGTGTCCAATAAATAAGTTTAAGTGTTTATCTTTAATGAAGAAGGTTATTATGATGCTTGAAGACAAAAAATAGGCGAACATTTTGAAGTTTGAGTCGTCTGGTGAACTCGTAATATTTTAATAAACACAGATAAACTATATAAAATTCTAATTGAAAGTTTCTGTGGTGCCCCTCTTTGCTTGGTGCCCTAAG